CCGCTCGGGCGCGGGGGGGCTGCCTCGCTGTCACGAGGGGCCCACGGGGGCGCGCAGGGAGATGGGCACGAGTCCCAGGATTCTCCATACTTCCATGGTTTTCAAGGTTTTCGCCTTCCGCCCCCCTCCAAAAATCCGCCGACCCTGTCGGCGTGTGCGAGACGCTTTTGTCCGCGTGGTCGCCGCCATCCCTCCTGCAGCAACCCACTCCAGACACTACGCCACATAACGTCGTTGACATGGAGGTGATGGCGAAGCAATCCACTCCAGCCAATACGCCACATAACATCGTTCACATGGAGGTGAAGGCGAAGCACTTCCCTTGGATCCCTTCCCCCGGCGGGGGGGGGGTCCCGGGGGAAGGGTGTGGTCCCGGGGGGGGGGGTCCCGCGGGTGCATGGTCCCGGGGGTTGGTCCCGGGGGGGGGTCCCAGGGGTAATGTGATTGTTACCTAGACTGATAGATTTCTAGTAGTGTCACAAGAGAGTATCATGACGCCCCAAGGGGGTCTGGGCGGGATCCGGACAAAACCGGACAAAACCAGGATCCCCAGGAATCCTTAGGAATCCTTAGGAATTCTTAGGAATCCATTCCTAGAACACCATTCCCAGGCCACATTTTGAATGCCTGGAGCCAACTGTAGGCCACTTCGTGTTCTTCGTGTTCCCAGAACACCATTCCCAGGCCACATTTTGAATGCCCGGAGCCAACTGAAGGCCAATTCGTGTTCTTCGTGTTCCCAGAACACCATTCCCAGACCGCATTTTGAATGCCCGGAGCCAACTGTAAGCCACTTCGTGTTCTTCGTGTTCCCAGAACACCATTCCCAGGCCACATTTGGTATGCCCCGAGCCAACTGTAGGCCACTTCGTGTTCTTCGTGTTCCCAGAAACCATTCCCAGGCCACATTTTGAATGCCCGGAGCCGAGACACAATTCTGTACCATATTTTGATTGCCCGGAGCCAGCTGTGGGCCACTTCGTGATCTTCGTGTTCCCAGAACACAAGTCCTGTGCCATATTTTGAATGCCCGAGCTGAGGCAGGCTGAGGCCGAGGCAGGCTGAGGCCGAGGCAGGCTGAGGCTGAGGCTGAGGCACGCCGAGGCAGGCTGAGGCTGAGGCTGAGGCAGGCTGAGGCTGAGGCAGGCTGAGGCTGAGGCTGACGCAGGCTGAGGCCGAGGCAGGTTGAAGCTGAGGCTGAGGCAGGCTGAGGCTGAGGCAGGCTGGGACTGAGGCTGAGGCAGGCTGAGGCTGAGGCTGAGGCTGATGCAGGCAGAGGCTGAGAGGCTGAGGCTGAGGCTGAGGCAGGCTGAGGCTGAGGCTGTGGCTGAGGCTGAGGCAAGCTGCGGCTGAGGCAGGCTGAGGCTGAGGCTGATGCAGGCTGAGGCTGAGGCAGCGAGGCTGAGGCAGAAGCCAGTGGGCCGAGGCAGGCTGAAGTTGAGGCTGAGGCAGGCTGAGGCTGAGGCAGGCTGGGACTGAGGCTGACGCAGGCTGAGGCTGAAGCTGAGGCTGATGCAGGCTGAGGCTGAGAGGCTGAGGCTGAGGCTGAGGCAGGCTGAGGCTGAGGCTGAAGCTGAGGCAGGCTGAGGCTGAGGCTGAGGCAGTGGCTGAGGCTGAGGCAAGCTGCGGCTGAGGCAGGCTGGGCCTGAGGCTGATGCAGGCTGAAGCTGAGGCTGGCTGAGGCTGAGGCCGAGGCAGGCTGAGGCTGAGGCGGAGGCTGATGCAGGCTGAGGCTGAGAGGCTGAGGCTGAGGCAGGCTGAGGCAGAGGCTGAGGCCGAGGCAGGCTGAGGCTGAGGCTGAGGCTGAGGCAAGCCGAGGCAGGCTGGGGCAGGCTGAAGCTGAGGCAGGCTGAGGCTGAGGCTGAGGCTGAGGCTGAGACAAGCTGCTGAGGCAGGCTGGGAGGCGATGCAGGCTGAGGCTGGGGCAGGTGAGGCTGAGGCAGGCTGAGGCAGGCTGAGGCTGAGGCTGAGGCCGAGGCAGGCTGAGGCTGAGGCCGAGGCAAGCCGAGGCAGGCTGAGGCTGAGGCTGATGCTGAGGCAGGCTGAGGCTGAGACAGGCTGAGGCTGAGGCTGAGGCAGGCTGAGGCTGAGGTCGAGGCAGGCTCAGGAGGCTGAGGCAGGCTGAGGCCGAGGCAGGCTGAGACTGAGGCTGAGGCAGGCTGTGGCTGAGGCTGATGAGGCTGAGGCTAAGGATTCCTATGGATTCCTAAGGATGCCTAAGGATGCTTTAGGAATCCCTAGGAATGCTTAGGATTCCATTGGATCCTAAGGCCGTTGCCACTGCGACTGTCATTGCGATTGCGACTGCGACTGCGAGAACAGCAGACTTCTACAACTGGATTCTCAACTGAATCTTAAGGGGAATGCTTCCAGATTTGCGTCGTCACATCGCTGTTAGGTTGCTTTGCCGGGATAATTTCTTTACTGGGACCCCTACTCCAACAGCTCCCCCGGTGAAGGCGAAACCCTCCCCGTGGATCCCTTCCCGGGGCGGGGGGGGGGTCCCAAAGGGGGTGGTCCCGGGGGGCGTCCCGGAGAGTGGTCGGTGGTCCCCGGGGGGGTCCCGGGGGTAATGTGATTGTTTCTTTACTAGGGCCCCCACTCCAACAGTTCCCCCTCCTTCTCCTTATCTCCCCCGCCGGCGCTCGGTAAGGCGCGGCGACATGGGGTCGTCGTCGTCGCCGCCGTCGTCGAGGAGGTGGAGGGAGAGGAGGAGGAGGAGGAGGAGGAGGAGGAGGAGGAGGAGGAGGAGGAGGAGGAGGGGAGGAGGAGGAGGAGAGGAGGGGGAGGAGAGGAGGAGGAGGAGGAGAAGGAGGAGGAGGAGGAGGAGGAGGAGGAGGAGGAGGGGGCGGAGGAGGAGGAGGAGGTGGGGGAGGAGGGACGAGAGGAGAAGGAGGTGCAGGAGGGGGAGGGGGAGGGGGGAATGGAGAAAGAGGAGAGAGGAGGAGGAGGAGGAGGAGGAGGAGGAGGAGGAGGATGAGGATGAGGATGAGGATGGGAGGAGGAGGAGGAGGAGGAGGAGGTGGAGGAGGAGGAGGAGGAGGAGGAGGAGGAGGAGGAGGAGGAGGAGGAGGAGGAGGACAAGGAGGAGGAGGAGGAGGAGGAGGAGGAGCAGGAGGAAAAGCAGCAACTATTCCTCCTCTTCATCCTTTTCCTCCACCTCTCCTCCCCCTCGTCTTCCTTACCTCCTCCTCCTCCTCCTCCTCCTCTTCGTCTTCCTCCTTCTGCTCCTTCTGGTCGTCGATGTGCTTCAGGGTCGGCGGCATCGGCCGTCAGGCCCTCTCAATGTTTCCAGCATGCTTGTTTTCCTGGGGGTACTTAATGTCATGGGGGTCGACGAAGAAATGTGTCTGTGTGTGTGTTTCCCCTCCTTGCTCGTTTTCCCGCACGCGAACGCGCTGCCGCCAGCGCACCTGGAGAAAGCCTGGCGCTGCAACTCTTTCCCAACGGGCGTTTTCGCCCCGTGTTCGGGCCCTCCTCCTCCTCCTCCTCCTCCTCCTCCTCCTCCTCCTCCTCCTCCTCCTCCTCCTCCTCCCCCTCCTCCTCCTAACCCCTCCTAAACTTGACCTTGCTGGAGGGTTTAAAACATTCCACCAGGACCTCGACATCTAGATTCCTGTCGGGGTTTTGAGCAGCCCAGATAAGTCTGTAAGGTCCGGAGGGTTATTTTCTAGCACTCTGGAAGGTCAGGGCAAGACCCTCACAGAACGCTCTGGCTCGGAAGGTGACGCAGGAAGATGGGGTCCGGGGCTCCGGTCGAAATTCTTGCGATGCTGCACGTGTTTTCGCAACGTGGGATCTCAGGGCAGAGGGGGTCGAGTCCAAGGCCGCCCAGCCCTGACGTCCTCGCGCCGCGGCAGAAATCGTGACGGCAAGCTCTCGTCAATTTTCGGCCTCCGCGGGCCCTCGTGCCCTCGCCGGACCCTAGGACAGCGACCCAGGATGGAGAACCGAACCCCGGGCATGGGTCTAGACCTCTGGGGAGCCGCGCTGTGAAAAAGTCCAGACGTCCACATGTCTGGGAAATGGGGTCCCGAGTAGCCGGGGGCGGAGGATCGCGCCGCATCGCCGATGCATCGGAGATGCAGCACGATCTGGAGTCCGCCATTCTCCGTCCAGACCTCGCCGATGCATCGGCGGTGCAGCGTGCAGCTCGGGCCCGATCTGCTCCAGCAGCAATGAGGCGTCCAGTGAGGGAGGGTGAGCAATGATGAGGAAAGGGGTGAGACGTGGGGACGGAGGAGGTCTGGGCGAAGGCTCGGACGTCCCCAGGCCTTCCGAGAAGTTTTCTCAGCCTTCCCCGAGAGCACAAACAACTTCTCAGAAGGCTGGGGGGATTCTGAGAAGCCCCGCCGCCTTCTGAGAAGGCCTTCTCCTTCTCACTTCCCCCCCCTCGCCCGCCGCCGATCCCTGGAACATTTGAGGGCCACCTTCAGGTCAAAGTCGCCTCTGGGACTGCCCGGCCCTCCTGGTCCTCCCTTCTGCCCGCGACCCAGTCCTCCGGTCTGCCCCGATACCCCTATTCCCCCTTCCCTTGCGATCGGCCGCGATGGCACTCTGAACATCTACACACACACACACGCATACTCGCTCTCTCTCTCTCTCTCTTTCTCTTTATATTTATTTTGTTTGTTTTCTCTCTCTCTCTGTCTCCCTCCCTCTCTCTCTCTCTCTCCCCAGACATGCGACGCCCTGATTTGTTTTCAATACGGGGTTTCAGAAGTCCTGACCCTTTCCCTCGGACCGGTTTTTCATCCCCAGCCGTTTTTTGACGGTCCCGAGGCCCGGTGAGGGCCCCCAGAAGCCGAAAATTATGCAAAACCTCGCGCCGCCATCTTGCACGGCGCGAAGATGTCTGGGTCTCCCTCTCTCCCTCTCCCTCTCCCCCCCCTCTCTCTCTCCCTCTCCCTCTCCCTCCCCCTTCCTCTCTCCCCCTCCCTCCCCCTCCCCCCCTCTCTCCCTCTCCCCCTCCCCCTCCCTCTCTCCCCCCCCCCCGTCGTGCCGCGGGGCGGGCTGGCAGGCCGCTGCGGGGCCCGGATGCCTGGGGCGAGAGGCGGCGGCGCGCCCCCCAGGGGGGGAAGTGAGGACGGGGCGGGCCTCCCCGGAGGGCTCGGCAGTGCAGTCCCCCTCCCCCCGCAGCATTCGCGAGACGTCGTCTCAGCAGTCCGCGGAGGCACAGAAGCACTTCTCGGAGGGCGCGAGGGCTCGGCAGTCCCCCCCCCCCGCATTTGCGAGGAGTTGTCCGAGCAGTCCAAGAGGGCGCGGGGGCTTCTGAGAAGTCCCGCCGCCTTCCGAGGGGGCCTTCTCCTGCTCATCCCCCCCCCTCGCAGGCCGCCGAGGGAGGCGGAGAGGGGGTGTGTCGGGGGAGTGGGGCGATGGGCACGCGGCAAGCTCGCGTCGTGACGGCTTGTGAGTTGGCTCCTGGCACTGCCTGGATCGTTCGGCCCCGGAGATCCGACACTTCTCCTCCTCCTCCTCCTCCTCCTCCTCCTCCTCCAATCCTGCTCTTCCTCCTCCTCCTCCCTTCCCTCCCCTCCCTCCCTCCCTCCCTCCCCTCCCTCTCTCCGTCCTCCCTCCCTCCATTGCTCCCTCCTCCCTTCTCCCTCCCTCCTCCCTCCTTCCTCCCTCTTCCTCTCGCCTCCCCCCTCCCTCCCTCCGTTCCGAAAACGTTGGGGCAGGCTGTTTTTTTCGGGGGGCTGTAATTCGGCATTGTAGGGCCCTCGCTGGGCCTCGGGAGCGTGGACTAAGAGTGGGCCCTGGGGAAGTGGTCCAAACCTCTGGGGCCCACGCATCGCAAAAATTGGAGCAGTCGGATGTCTGAGACCCTGAGCGATCACGGCTTTCAAATAGCGCCGATCGTTCGATATCGGCCGATTCTGTGCTACTGGCGGCGCTCAACCTTGAAAGCCAGCTCTGGGGTCGACGCCGCGTCGCCACGAACGAGCCCAAGGACAGCAGGGAGGCGCGGCGGAGGCATAGGGCGGGACAAGTGGGAATTGGAGGTCAGGCAAAAGACGGGATGCGGAGATGGATGGAGGGGGGATGGACACAACGGGGGAGGAAAGGTTCACAGGAGAGGGAGGTGGATGCGGCGGGTACCTGCGGCCATGGCATGCGGGGTGGATGCGGCATGAGGAGGTGGATGCGACATGGGCTCTAGGTTCTACCATCGTGTTCACCGTTCAACCTCATCGAAGAGCGGGAAGCGAGGCGAATAAGGCGGACCACATGGATGAAGTGGGAGGGTGGGAAACGGAGGAATGGGAGAATAAATACAAGGGCCAGGAAGAGGAAAGGGGACTCAGAAGAGGATGAGGGGTACGTGAAAGAGGAGGAAGAGGAGGAGGAAGAGAAGGAGGAAGGAAAGGTGTACCAAATGGACAAATCAATACAGCATCTACGATGAAAACATGGCGAACAAAGAAATCTTCAGTAGTGACCGCAGCGACGGCCTGTTACCCAAATTGACGCCGCAGCTAAGCTCGCGAGGCCGAAAACCACGCGGCCACGGTGCCAGACCCGGAGGAGGAGGAGGAGGAGGAGGAGGAGGAGGAAGAGGAGGAGGAGGAGGAGGAGGAGGAGGAGGAGGGCGAGGCGGAGGAGGAGGAGGACGAGGAGAACGAGGAGGATAAGGATGATGATGATCATGAGGAGGAGGATGAGGAGGATGGGGAGGAGGAGGAGGACGAGGAGGACGAGGAGTGCGAGGAGGACGAGGAGGGCGAGGAGGACGAGGAGGAGAACGAGGAGTCCTTCTCGTCCCCCCTCCTCCTCCTCCTCCTCCTCCTCCTCCTCCTCCTCCTCCTCCCTCCTCCTCCTATCCTCGCGGAAGTGCGAAAAGCACCCGGCCACTCCCGCTCCATCACCTGCCGACCGCCCTGGACGCCTCTGTTCCGCCAGGGGGTCGGCGGGATGGGCGTGCGCCACTCGAGCAGACGGCGGGCCGACGCTGGCACCCGAGAGGCACGTGAGAGCGCCTTCGCGAGGGCGCGCGCGCAGAGCACTCAGTGGGGGCCCGCCCGCCCGCGCGCGAGGGACCTTAGGCGCAGCCCGGCGCCGACCCGTGCGCACGGCACCGGCGGCGGCCTTCCGGGCGGTCCCGCGGACGGGGCCTGCTCGCACGGCCGACGGAGGCGCGCCCGCGAGGCCAGCCGTGTCAGCGGCTGGCCTCGATCGGGGAGGCCGGGCCGGCGCGGCGCAGCCCTGCAGCCACCGCGCGGTGGGCCGCGCGCGCCACGGCCGAGGCGCGGGAGGGGGGTGGCCGAGAAGCCAGCGGCAGAGCGCCCGGCCCGCCGAGACGCGCGGATCTTCCTCGTCCTTCTCCTCCTCCTCCTCCTCCTCCTCCTCCATCCTCTTCCTCCTGCCTCCCCCCTCATCCTCTTCCTCCTCCCCATTCTTCCTCCTCGTCCTCCTCCTCCTCTTCCTCCTCTATGTGGTACTCTCCTTTCTCCCTCCTCCTACTCCTGCTCCTCCTTCCTCCTTCTCCTCCCCACCCGTCCCACTGCAACAGAACACGTGTGCGCCCGACTCGTCCTGCGTGCTGGCGAGGTGTGCTCCGACACAGGCCTTCGACACAGAAGGAAGTCATGGCGACCAATTTTCCTCACCATTTGGCCGCACGAGGCCCGTTTTGGATTGGGGGCTTCCAAAACAACACAAAACCCAAACCACTGCGCGAGATAAACACGATGTTGGTGTCGACAGCTTGGGAGTCTCGTGCATTGAAAATAGCACACCGTCGGAGGTCTCAAGAGGATGAAGGTGCATGAGCGAAAGGTACATGATCTCACCATCAGAGCTGGGATCAAGTCTCACGGGTGGATGAGCGGCTGAGGAAGCCGATTAAGCTCCGTACCCAGTTTCTGATTGATGGTTTTCCTGTACTTGGCCATGATGTCACCAGGCACATCTACGCCATCCTGCGCGATTGAATGCGTTGGCAGATCCCTTGCCTGATGACATGTGGCAACAGACTGCGCGCATGGTATGTCACCAATTCGCATCGAGACACGCATCCGAGCCCATCCAATCTCTATTTCACCCACGCCTCTGCTGGCCTTGCGAGTTGCCCCTGTAATCTTTCACCCTCTCCGTGGCTTAGCAACGTACAACCTCATCAACACATAAACCCGGCCCATGTGCATGAACTGATGTATTGCAGCTGCCATGCGCAAGAATCCGAACCAACCTCAAACTGAAACCGCCCAAGTATAGACTACGCTAAAACTGGCACTGCTAACGTCACATGTTAGATAAACCTCACTCACTCAGACTACCCCGAAGCTAACACAACTAGAGGCCTCCAGAATGGGGTCCGAGTAGATGGGGTCGGAGGATCGCAACGCATCGCCGATGCGTCGCCGATGCATCGCCGATACGTCGGCGATGTTTGCGATGCATCGGCGACGTCGGCTCGGAGAACTTCGGGCTCCACATCAAGCCACATCACCGATGCATCCGCGATGCGGCGCGACCACTGGAGCCTGACCCCATCTACTCGAACCCCATATGGGAGGCCTGGAACAACGGGCGGCAGAATCGCTCGGCGAGCGAACTCCACCCCTAGGTGGCGACATCCGAAAGAGCCTGCTCTGCCGCCGCTGGCAGAACATCGAGGGGAGTCACTTGGGATTTCAAACCCGTCCCCCCCCCCCCGAAAACGGGGGGGGGGTCACTGGAAGTTCCAGACCCGTCCCCCCCCCCCGGTCCCTCGTGAAAAGGGGGGTGTCACTGCCGGTTTGACCCCCCCCCCTAACCCCAATTTGCCGCCGGCCAACGACTCCCCCTCCTCCCCGATTCCCGATGGGAGACGGTGGTGGAGACAGTGGTGGGGGCGAAGGTGGAGACGGTGGTGGGAACGGTGGGGGACAGTATGACAGTGGGGACAGTGGGGACAGTGGGACAGTAGGGACAGTGGGACACTGGGGACAGTAGGACCGTGGAACAATGGGACGTGGTACAGTGGGGACTGTGGTGTGGACAGTGGGGACAGTAGGACAATGGTGGGGACAGTGGGGACAGTCGGACGGTTGTGGGGACAGTGGGACAGTGGTATGGGATAATGGGGAACGTGGGGACTGTGCGACAGTGGGACACTGGAACGGTGGTACAGTGAGGACAATGGTGTGGACAGTGGGGAGAATAGGACGGTGCTGGGGACAGTGGGGACAGTGGGACAGTGGTGCGGACAGTGGGACAGTGGGGACAGTGGGACAGTAGGGACAGTGGGACACTGGGGACAGTGGGACCGGGGAACAATGGAACGGTGGTACAGTGGGGACACTGGTGTGGACAGTGGGGACAGTAGGACAGTGGTGGGGACAGTGGGGACAGTCGGACGGTGGTGGGGACAGTGGGGACAGTGGGACAGTGGTATGGGACAGTGGGGAACGTGGGGTCTGTGCGACAGTGTGACAATGGGACGGTGGTACAGTGAGGACAATGGTGTGGACAGTGGGGAGAACAGGACGGTGGTGAGGACAGTGGGGACAGTGGTGTGGACGGAGGTGGAGATGGTGGTGGGAACGGTGGGGGACAGTATGACAGTGGGGACAGTGGGGACAGTGGGGACAGTGGGGACAGTGGGACACTGGGGACAGTGGGACAGTGGAACAATGGGACGGTGGTACCGTGGGGACAGTGGTGTGGACAGTAGGGACGGTAGGACAGTGGTGGGGACAGTGGGGACATTCGGACGGTGGTGGGGACAGTGGGGACGGTAGGACAGTGGTATGGGACAGTGGGGAACGTGGGACAGTGGTGGGGACAGTGGGGTCAGTGGGACGGTGGGGACAGGGGGACAGTGGGGACGGTGGGATAGTGGGATGGTGGGACCAGTGGGGCACTGGGGACAGTGGGATTGTGAGACAATCGGACAGTGGTGGGGACACTGGGGACAGTGGGACAGTGGTGTGGGACAGTTGGGACAGTGGGACAATGGTGGGGACAGTGGGGACTGTGGGGACAGTCTGACAGTGGGACAATCGGACGGTGGTACAGTGAGGACAATGGTGTGGACAGCGGGGAGAATAGGACGGTGCTGGGGACAGTGGGGACAGTGGGACAGTGGTGCGGACAGTGGGACAGTGGTATGGGACAATAGGAGCAGTGGGGACAGTGGTGGGGACCGTGGGACAGTAGGGACAGTGGGAACAGTGGTGGGGACAGTGGGGACAGTGGGAACAGTGGTGGGGACAGTGGGACAGTGGTGGTGGTGAGGGAGGTGGTGGGGACGGCGGTGGAGACCCAGAAGTCGTTTGCCAGCGGCGGGTAGGGGGGGAGGTTCGAACGTGTATTACCCCCCCAGTTTGCCAGGAGAGGGGAGTGGGAGGGGTTGATGGGGGGTTGCTGGGGGGGAGGGGGAGGGAGGTCGAAAAAGGAGGGGGGGAGGATTTTCGGAGGGGGGGTGGACCCTCCGGTTCTGGAGGGTGAAGGAGGGGATTTTTCCTAGCAAAGCGGCGGTGGACCACGCTCTCTCCGACATCCGAACCCTACCCCCACCAACCATCGCTTCTCCTGAATCCTGGGAGGCTGGGGTAGGGATCGGCTTTCGCCGCGCGTGCGACGACCTCCGAGCCCAACCCCCTCCGCCCATCGAGTTGCCTGACTCGTTGATCGGCGAGGGTAGGGCTCGGACTTCGACTCCGAACCCCGTGAGGCCACCGCGTCTGCGCGACTCCTCGACGCGCGCGGGTCTATGCGGGCAGCCAGGCACGATGCCACCCGCGAGCACGCCGCCCTCCTGGCTCGAGGAGGAGGAGGCGGAGGAGGAGGCGGAGGAGCAGGATGAGGCGGAGGAGGAGGAGGCAGAGGAGGAGGAGGGGGGAGGAGGAGGAGGAGGAGGAGGAGGAGGAGGAGGAGGAGGAGGAGGAGGAGGAGGAGGAGGAGGACGAGGAGGAGGAGGAGGAGGAGGAGGAGGAGGAGAGGAGGAGGAGGAGGAGGAGGAGGAGGGAGGAGGAGAGGAGGAGGGAGGGGAGGAGGAGGAGGAGGAGGAGGAGGAGGGAGGAGGAGGGAGGAGGGAGGAGGAGGAGGAGGAGGAGGAGGAGGAGGAGGAGGCCCCGCGCCGGATCAACCAGTCCCCGCCTCGACCTCTTTGCGCCGACCTGGCTGCTGAGCTCCGGTCATGCCTGGGCCTCCTGCGTCCATTTGCCTGGTCCTAGACTTAAGTCGGGCGTGTTCCCCTACAGAGGGATTTTCGACGAAAAATGAAAAATACCCTACAAATAGTCAACGAAATAATCCAAAAATAGTCTGGGGACTATTTTTTGAATATTTGTTGGCCTTTTTGGGGTACTGTTTGGGTATTTTTTATTTTTCGTCGAAAACCCCCCTGTCTGGGGACAGGCCCGACTTAAACCTAGACGCAGCCGATGCTCTACATGGAACGCGTGATTTCCCAATGTGCTCGGGGGTTCGCCGTCTCGTGCGACTCCACCGACATGCCCCAATTCTGAGGCATGGAGAGCGTGGTGACATCAACGATGCGCTGGGCGAATGTTACTCTGCTCGAGCCGCGATTCACGCCGCAGGATATCAAAGAGGCACCAATTTTGCATGTGCAATCGCTCGTCGAGCTCCGACTGCAGATAGGACTACGCGTCGCCCCTAAGCCACGTTACACGTCGTGGCGCACGTGTAACGTGGTACTGATAAGAGCCAAAGGGCGCGGGGGGGGGGAACCATGGGGTTCAAGCTGAGTGGATTGGCACCCTTTAAGACCATTGGAAGCCGTCACGACCTCCCCATACAATTGGAAGGCCATACGAAACACATCAATCAAGAATGATGCGAAACCAGACCCAACGGAATCCTTCACACACACCGCGGCCCGCTCGCGCACGATTGCCTGCTCCTTGGCAACCTTCATCGCCTCCAGCCGGGAGTAGACCTAATGAGCGGGGAGTCAGGCAGCAAATGGTAGGAGGGACCACGATCGCCACACACATCCTTTTGGAGACTGGGTCGTAACTCTCGCGGCCTATGAAGGGCATTCGGCAAGCACTAAACAGAACGCCAAGCACCTCGTGCGATACTGGTTCGAGCAACCGCAAGATAAACACAACTATCACGTGCATGTTCCAGCATGCACAATACGAGTAATGGAACGCGCCGCTTCCGAATGCACATGGTATGCACTCGGGTGTAAACCCCTCTGCGCATCTGCGTATGTCTGGTCAAAGTCATGCAAGCACGTGCAGGTGTGTGTGTGTGTGTGTGTGTGTGTGTGTGTGTGTGTGTGTGCGCGTCGCGTGCGTCCCCACATGAAAGAAACAAACAGGGGGAGACAGAAAGAGAGAGAGAGAGAGAGAAAAAAAAGAGCGAGAACAAAGTCCGAGAGCAAGAGAAAGAAAGAGAGGGAGAGAGAGAGAGAGAGAGAGAGCGATAGAAGGAGAGGTACTGGCTACTTCCGAGACATCTGGACATATTGTTCAACATATCGCCAAAAAACATGTGTAGCGAACAGAGCACCGTACACAGTACGAGTGATACAGCACTAGCACCACGTACGTATCCACAAATCTTGTGGTGGAATCTGGGCGCGCCTTTAGCGCACTAATTCCGATATATCCTGGCCATCAGGATGGAGAGGGGGAGTTTCGTGGGGCTAGGAGGAGAGGGGGCGAGCGAGAAGGGAACAACAACAACCCGAAACACGCACACTTGATGCAATGTGTGGCATCTCTCCGTATTGCGGCATGCAAGATGACGCAACCCCGAACCTTGTGCTGGTCGTTGAAGGAGATCCGGTGCTCCTACAGAGCCATCTTCACAACGTGCAAATTACCAAACAACCATGGCGATTAGGGGATCACAATAAAAAAAGGTGCCCCAGCCACGAGCCCTACTGGCAGCTAAGGTGGAGATGCGGGTCGAGAAGCAGGTCGGCCAGTGAAAACTTGCCTGTGTATTCCTAGGGGCTCCTAGGTGTGACGGAATTGAGAATACGGCCATGTGCACCGAAGTGCATTTTACAAAGAACCGTGGCCGTGCGACAGGTGCGGGACCACGGCTATGTGCACCGTAATGAACTGTTTGCAAAAGGTCGTGGCCGTTTGACAAGGGTGGGAGGACGGCCTTGTGCACCGTAGTGCATTTCTTACAAAGGATCGCAGCCGTTTTGCAGGGGTTAGCGCACGGCCATGTGTTTTGTTATAGGGGGTCGTAGCCGTGTGACAGGGGTGAGCCTTCGGCCATCACCTTGAACCCAAATTAACCTCATGCCCGTGAGAATAAACACTAGGGGATAATAAAGTTCGGGGTTCAGGGAGAGATAATAAAAGTAGCCCAGCAGACCTCAGCATAATCTCGAAGTAAGAGATGATCAAGAGGAGACCAAGCCGAGCACGTTTTGAGACATCCTTGGCGTTTAGTTTTCATAGCAATATCCTCAACACTGGCTTATCTCTCATGAAAATTGTTTTTTGTAAGTGCTCGTGTAGGGTAGCTCATGTGCCTCAATTTCCATGGATACTCAACCCCAGAGATAAAAAAAGTTCAGGCGAGCGTGGGGACAGAGAGAAATATAAAAGAAGAAGAAGACAGTATAATAATAAGAAAGAAGAAGAAGAGGATAATAAGAAGAGGACGAAGAAAGAAAAAAACCAAAGTTACAAATCTATCAATTTTAATTTACAAACGCTTTATGAACATTGATTTTTTTAAGTGCTCGTGTAGGGTAGCTCATGTGCTTCATTTTCCATGGATAATCAACCCCAGGGATAAAAAAGTTCAGGCGAGCGTGAGGACAGATAGAAGTATAAAAGAAGAAGAGGAAAGTATAATCATAATAAGAACATTGCTCGTTTCGTTTGAGTCTGCCTCCCAAAATTATTGGTTTCGCTTGACACATCCTGAAAAAGTGTGATCGCTTCGCTTGATGTTGCTATATCAACATCGCTTGATGTTGCTATCTCAACATAGCGTTTCGAGGTGATAATGAAGTTCGGCCTCAGCGCTCGCCGCCCAATTTGAATCTTGTATAGGGCGACGATAATCAACTCTAAACACTGAAGGGGGGGGGGTCACTTTATTATCATCGGCATGCGGTTACCAGTAGCTTTATCAATAGCGTTCAAAATGATCCTTTCATTTCCAAAGATGGGGGGACGCCGAACGATATCGCTCGCTCCGGTAACTTAATTAAGTCAATGATTCCGCGAGGGATCCTCTTTGAACTCTATTGGAAGCCGACGATTCGAACTCGGTTGGGATTTTACTGGGTTCATGTTGCAATCCTCTTTGGCTTTGTTGGAATCCGATTGGGGTTTTGTTGGAATCCTGTTAGGATCTTGGTGGGATCCCGCACTGAGGGTTTCAGGGCATCACTTGCAGAGGGCGAAAAGCGATACATTCTCGGGAAACACGGGGGGGGTCGATAAGTGGGTCCCACGCTGATTCACCGCAGTGAGCTTTTTGCAAGAGATCGTTGCCGTCTGGACCAACACTGTAGCGGGCATTGAGGCGAGAGCATGACTCATGAAAAAATTCCAAGGGCGTCATAAGAGAAACGGCGGTTCCGAGAGTCAGGTCTTGTGCCTCTCCCCGTTCCCCTCTGGTGGGTCTTCTGTGAGGCCCCTTGCCACCACCTGTAGAACCCTCTGGCCTGAACGCTATGAGGGAATCATAGAACACGCCAGGCGCACTCCTTCCCTCTCAGGTCCATCTACGAGCCACTCGTGCAGTACGCGCGATGGGTCACGCGCCCGACATGGGCAAGACGATGCCACCAAAAAGAGAGACAGACTACACAGGATACAACATGCCCGGCACGCTCTCCCGGCGTAAAGCCGCTTGCGCAGGTAGGTTCGTCCGGACGTCAGGCACGGCGCGGGCCAAGACGCGTCACAGATTGGCCACCCCCAGCATAGACCAGGGACTCCAACAATGATGCAGAGGGCGTGCGGCTTCCTACCTGCGGCGCGAGTCCAGCTTTCCTCCCCGAGCTGGCGAGGAACTTCGACACGAAATTCAACGTCGTAAGAAGTCGGAGACGCGAATCCGAGGGACAGCCAATGGGAGGAGACGCTGGCTAGAGTTCGAAGGGTATAGAGGTTTCGTAGCACGGTGGACAAAAGCAAAAAGAGAGAGAGAGAGAGCTCTTGCAACACATATGCACTCACAATAGCTCCTTGGGGATCGTATGTAAGGCTGCAGCCTTGATGTCTCGATCCTCGTACGTCGCGTTGGCCTGGGGAAGACAAGCACAACAATAACAACAGTATCAATAATTGCAATACACATGCACCCACTGTGTTCCCGCGGGGGTCGCATGCGACACTACAATAGTGATGTCTCGATCATCGTCCTTCGCTTTGGCCTGACATCTGCCCCGAAGCCACACTTGACACCCAAGACCCTGTATCGGCCAGGACGGGAATGGGACCGTCAAGCTGGGGGTGACCACAGATGCGTGCAAAAGCTGGTGCACCAACACTGGGACCTCTGGAAGCAGAATTTTCGAGCGGTCGTTCGGAACTTCGTTGTGATCCACATGGTCTGGGGCGCTTGTCCTGCTGGCTTCGCCACGGAAATCGGGCCACGCGCCCTTGTGGAAAACGTGCTTGCCATGGGCGCTCAGGCCTGCGGGGGTCAGGAGCACGACGCAATAGGAAAGACAGCAAAACGGCGAGACCCGAAGCAATGATCGGCGAACGAATGATGCACTCACCTTGCGATTCAGAGAACTCTGGAAGACATGACGCTGAACGAGCCGCACGATCCCTGAGAAACGCCGCTGCAGCACCCTTCGGCAATGATCCTCGCCGAGGCGGTCCGAGGTTGGACAAACGGTGTGGTCGGTCAGTGGTGTGGTTTGGATTCTGGTTCCGCGACAATCAATACCCGCTGCGGGCAATGGCTGCACAAAGATGTTGCTTCTTTAGCATCCCAGCAACGCACCCTAATAATAGCAACAACGATGAAAAGGCGGGGCGAGGACTACAAAAATGGCTCGTGGCACCGTGCGCTCCTGGATAGTGCGATGGATTCTGTGAAAGATGCAAACAGGGACCTCGCCATCGCTCGGACGTCCATTCCCTGTGCCTTTTTCGGTTTCGTGCGTGGCTTTCTCGCGAAATGATCAAGGATGCTCCTCGATGGTCCTCGCCGAAGGAAAAATGCACCCGTCCGAGCGATGCCAGGGGGCAGGGTTGAGCACGGCCACGTGCACTGTAGTAGAGCATTCTGTCACGAGGGATCGCGGCCGTCCAGACCAAAAGATGCAGCCAACACCGCGGCGAGGGCACGACTCCTGCACAGTTCGCGGGGACAGCTGGAGCCCAACGGCCTGCCTTGCGGGAACGGCGCCCTGGGGCTCTCCCCGCCCCCCCCTGCGGGTCCCTTGTGCGGTCCTTCTTCACCTCCACTCGCACCCACTACAGGGCAGTTTTTAATACATGGGATCTTTGTTCCTGATACATGGTTAATTCATGAATGAATTCATGCATGAACTCATCGTTGCTTTTAATGCTAAATCCCTGCATGTTAAACACATGATCCGCACGCGGAGCATGTATAACAAACGGCACTGTATCGTGAAACGCTATTCAAGAAACGCGCCAACCTCGGCTGCAGAGTTGTATCGCACCACCGGTCCGCACCGTTTGCTCGCCTTTGGTAGGTCGCCTGACTGAGCCCTCGCCAAGGATGCTCGGCGCTGCCCGCTTGATCCGTTATGCGGAATCAGACAATGACTCTGCCTCATCGTCGTCGCCCAAATGAGCCCCCATGTCAGTCCAATGATTCGTGTTGGCGCGCTTCTCAAGTGCAATCGGTCTTACCTCACCTCAAACCTCAAGAGTCCCTCTTCACGGCTACTCCGAAATTTCCTAGCCCTGTAGCTTCCCGCTGGAACAAGGCGGCGGGCGAACACGAACGGAACACTAACATGCCTTCACATTGTAACGGCACGTGTTCTGGGAATTGCGCATCACGAAGTCGCTGCGAGGGCCGTACTGCGAACAACTACGACACCAAATCTCGTTCTGAACTGCTCCTCTTGTCATCCAGCAAATAATCCTTCCGCTCAGTGGCAGCATCCCATATCATGCCCGAAGACGTATCTAACATGCGATCACTGAATTTCTTCTCCAATGCACTGGAACAGTCTAGCAAATCCCGGTTAGGCTCCGCAAGTCCCCTCAAGTTTCTGAAAGCCCCTGGAGGCAAAACAATATCGAACACGCCTCTCAAATCCTGATCGGACCCCATCATCCCCCTCCTCCTCGTCCTCCTGGTTCTCTCACACTCCCAAACTGGAACCATCGCACGCGCTTCGCGCGCGCGCTCTGGTAACACCTGCCTCGGAACCAAGAAGACGACACGGAAAAAAAGAACCTTGTACAACTAAACGGGAACGGCGAGTTTTGAACCTAACGCTTTAGCTGCAACGCGATTCGGACTGGAGTCCAGGTCGGAGTGAGAGGTGCGCAACTCAATGCAAGCACAATGCTAAGCGTAAACATCAATTTCCCTCGAGTGGTGCCCTCCCCCCGCCCGCGGGAGTTCCAACGGCCAAGGCAGGGGTGGGGGAGGGAGGGAGGGCTGGCGAGGCGTAGAACGTGGGAGGCGAGGAGGGAGCAGGAAGCAGGGATGAGGGACGATATGGAGGTAGGAAAGAGGACAAATAAAGGACGATGACGAGGAGGAAGAGGAAGAGGGAGGCGAGAAAGGGCGAGGCCTCGGCCAGAGCAGCCCCGCTGCAGATCCGTGACGTCGTCCTGACGACCTTTGTAGCACCCCTCCGCCCCCTCTAGTTCTGTTGGGCGCCCGAGTTCTCCAGGGCAACTCGGGTCTGGGGTAACTCGGGCTTGGATTCCCGAAAAACGAGCCCGAGTTAGCCCTGACCCGAGTTACCCCTGATGAGTTGGGGCTCAGCTTCTAGTTCCTCCAGAGGGCGGACTCCATTGCAATCTGACCGCTCCGCCCCCTCCTCCTCCTGCTCCTCCCCCTCCTCGTTCCGTTTCCCATCTCCCCTCCCTCCTCCTCCGGAGGTCTCCAGAGTTTACGGCCCCGAAGCCCCCCGAGCTCCAGAAGCCCCCGACGGCGGAGGAACAACAAAAACGCACCAAGTCCGCCGCCCCCGCGGAGACGCAGGGAAGACCGAGGAGGCTCCCAAACGACCCTCCAGACACCTCCCCGACTTCGTGGAGGCTCTTGGACACCTCTTGAATGCCTCGTGTCACCTCACGGGCACTCATGGGAGCGTCTGATCCTGGCCTTCCCGCGTGCCTCCTCCACCGTGGGGATCGTCGTTCAGGGTCGGCGGCACCGGCTGAAAGGGCCTCAGCAGTCATCGATCCTCGGCCCTCCTCCTCCCTCCTCCTCTCCAGTGCGACGCGCAAGCGCACGGGACGGTCGTCTCCTCCGTGTCCTCCATGTAGTCCGAAAAAGGCTGGCGCAGCGGCCCGTCAACGACGACCAGGAAGCCCTGGCGCAGGAGACGTGCCCTCAACTTCCCCTGAGGAGGATGAGGAGGAGGAGGAGGAAGAGGAGAATAATGATGATGATGAGGAGGAAGAGGAGGAGAATAATGATGAGGAGGAGGAGGAGGAGGAGGAGGAGGAGGAGGAGGAGGAGGAGGAGGAGGAGGAGGAAGGGGGGAGGAGGAGGAGGCGGGAGAGGTGACATTATGGTATTGAGCAACGGATGCGCAGTGCCTTTCACCTCCTCAGAAGCTGATGACTCGCGCGGGCGCTTGAGCCAGATGGCTGCCGACCATGGTCTTCTAGTCGGGATTGCACGGGCGATCGGACAGCTCTGGCGAAGCAGGGGGAATCGAGAACAAGGACGCCAGAACTGTCCAACACCTTGCGCAGTCCCGACTCGCCAAGGGTCTGGCCATCGCTCGGACGTCCATTCCCTGTGTTTTTGTCGGTTTCGTGCGTGGCTTTTTCGCCAAATGATCACGGATGCTCCTCGATGGCCCTCGCCGAGAAAAAATGCACCCGTCCGAGCGATGCCAGGGGGCACTAAGCCTGGAAGCGCACCCGGGCCGCACGGATGGCGGGCTCCACCGGCTGTGCCCGGAGACCTCGACCGCGCTCGTAAGAACAACGCTTGGCTAAACCCAGCACGACTGCGATCGTGAGCACCCCGGCGCCGTGTCGATGACGAGACCCGACCCGCAGACCACAGGGTCCGAAAGCCTGCGACGAGATGTCTCGCTGTGCCCAGAGACCTCGCCCGCGCTCTTAAGAACAACGCTTGGCTAAACTCATCACGAATGCGATCGTGAGCACCCCAGCGCCGTGTCGATGACGAGACCCGACCCGCAGACCACGGGGTCTGAAAGCCTGCGACGAGATGTCCAGCCACAGGGGAGACTCAGGGGCCGTGGCAAGGCGTGAGGGGTGAGAAGGAGGCCTCCTTCGACTGGCGGAGCAGGAGCAGGGGGCAGGAAGGGAGTACTAAATGTCAGGGGCGTGCGTCGCAGTCTCGGTCACCGAGCACGCTCGGCCAAGGTCCGCGCTGGGAGACCCTGCTTGAGCCGCCTGCTCTGGTGCCCCGCCTGCCTGCTCGGACCCTGTTGCTGCTGCTGCTGCTGCTGCAGCCGCCGACTCGCTGGGCTCACCCTCATGGGGCGCGAGCGCGGCCGCGGCCTTCCCCGCCCTCTCGCGACGGCGCTCCGCGCCCTCCCCGCCGCGCCTGGTGGGCTTCTTCTTGCTGGCGGGCCGTGGCTGTGAGCCCGAGCCAGCGGCGGTGTGGGGGAGGGCCCGTCCTCCCCGGGCGCGGGCGCAGCCGGGCCGGCTGCGCCGCGCGAACCGGGCGGAGAACCTTGGCCGTGGCCGGCGATCTTGCTCTTGCCGCCGCCCGCGGACATCTTGCCGCCCCTGCCCGTCGTGAACATGCCGCGGCCCCGGCTGTCAGTGGGGCCCGAGCGCCTCTGCCCTGCCCGAGCACCTCCGCTGCTCGTCCTCGTGGTGCTCGTCGTGCACACCTGAGGAGGCGGCGGCCCAGGAGCGGATCCGCCCCGAACCCGCTGACCGCTGCTGGCCGTGGAGGGGGCCGCGAGCGCCTGCGCTGCAGCCTGGCCTCCACGCGAGGAGGAGGGAGGAGGAGGAGGAGGAGGAGAAAGGAGGAGGAGGAGAAGGAGGATAATTCCATTTCTATGTGGAATAACATGAGCGTTAAGACGAACACGCACGCCGGGCTCTGCGTCCCGTTCATGGTTGGGCGCCGCGCCGCATGGTGCTGCTGAGGCTGGAGGTACATCAGGCGCGCCTCGTGGCTGAATCCGACCATCACCTGGTCGTCCATGACTTTGTAGCACGATGGTAAACAAGCAGCTGCTACCGTCTCGGAGACGGATGGCTCGCCCTGTTTCTTGAACCAGATGGCCATCAAACGTCCTACTCGAGTGAAGACAAAGAGGTAGGAGGAGGAGAAGGAGGAGGAGGAGGAGGTGGAGGAGGGCAAAGAGGAGGAGCAAGCAAGCAAGACCTGGGCAGCCGTAGTCCTCTGCTGTCTGGCTCACCTCTGCTGGGTGAGAGTTCTAGCCACGAACAATTGCTGCTGGTACGATCAATGCGCATCTCGGGCAAGCCTGCGGGACTTTATAGCCTATCTCGGGCCTTCGAAAGCCCGCGTTAGCACGAAGGCGCACCGCATTCGGTCAACTCGTAAAGCGCTGAGGCTTAGAGCACTTGGGCCCATCACCTCAACCTCGGGGAAGACAAATGCGGGGGGAGGCTCCTCGGGAAACGGGGCCACCAAAATAAACAAAAGCAGTGCAGCAGCCTCTTCGGGCCGCGTCGAAAGTTTGCGGTATGCGTGCCTTCGTGCTGTGAAGTCCTCCCTCCAGAGGAGAAGGAAGAAGAGGTAGTGCTTTGGACGCTGCTGTCTGTGTGTGGCTACTTGGGACCTCAGGATAGCCATGTCGGCCTCTGAAGGGCTCTGGAGGACTCCCAGACGCTCCGAGTAGGAGGGGGATGACTGGAGAGATCTGGTCCTGCACGTCCTGGCTGCAAGGTCACACATTATGAGCACTGCTCTCCTCTCTCCGCTGCCTCTGTGCGGAGAATGCTCAGTGCTTAGCCCTCTCCGCGTAGAGTTTTCCCGTTCTGAACACACAAGATTTTAAACATTCATCTCCCCATGTGTGTGTGTGCGACATCCGATAGTTTTCGGTGTTTCAAATTGGTGATCCCGTTCCGCGTGGGCCTCACTTTCGGATCCGCGCTGTGCTTCCGTTGTTCAACATGGCGCTCTCAACCCAACGCGGGCCACAATTCTGGATCCGAATCCCTTTTCGTCGGTGCCGCCCCCCAGATTCCCCCCTCCTCCGCTGTCTTCTGGCCCTCCTGCTCCACCAACTTCCTCCACTCCTTGTCCTCGTCCTTCGTCCTCCTCCTTCCTCCTCCTCCTCGTCCTCGTCCTCCTCCTCCCTCCTTGTCCTCGTCCTCGTCCTCCTCCTTCCTGCTCGTCCTCGTCCTCCTCTCCTTCCTCCTCCTGCTGCTCGTGGCGGTCGTGGGTCATCCTGCGGCCACGCTCTCCTCCTGCGCCCACCGCCACCGCCTCCTCCTTCCCGTGCACGCAGCTCCCCCCCTTTTTCCGGATGCGCAGGACACGATGGCGTCTTTGTTAGAGCCTCACGCGTCGGCCACGGCACGCGTCGGCGGATCACGAGCAGTCAGCGCAACGACAAGGGACGAGGGCTAGGATGCCAGATGTCGCGCGAGCGCACCCACAGTCGACCCGAATCATAAGAATGCACGATAACGATGCACGGGCCTCGGACGCCCACTTCAAAGCTTTTCGAGCGGGGCGCGGCCAACGAGAGTGGCGGAGGACGGACCGAGGAGGCAAAGATGCAAGGGCACCCTTGGGAAGGTTGCCCATCCTTACCATGTGGGTTGACTGTAGCTTGTATCTGCTCCACTCGCCCTTTACTCCGAAGCGCCTCATCGGCAAACAAACACCTCACCATATCGGGGATATTCTCTCCCCGCTGAACGTGGCCAAACCTCTTTTTTCCTTCTGTTTGGTTCACGGCATTGCTTAGTCGCGGTAGTACGTAAACATGTACAAGTGTAGCTTCAAAATATTGGCTCGGAGTGCCACGTGAAAGCCCATGGCAATGCAATTGAACAACACTGACCGCACAACACACCGTGTCGAACAGTTCGCTAGATTGGGCTGGACATATGGGGGGCGCCTGTTCCAGCCTCAGACGAGATACGCTACCACGTTGCATGATGGTTTCGCGGCTGTTTTGAAATTCTGACCATCGATTGGGATAGCGAGCCGTTCATGCAACACTCTGAAGGCACCATGCGTGTGGCATGCTTGTTCGCTTGGGGACGCACACTTTCCAGAAATTCCTGGCATCTGGGTGCGGAAGCTGGAGGCCAACCTACCTCATGGCCACATGCAGAGTTCTGCGATTCAAGGCCGCAAGCCAGTCTCAAATACGGGCAATCTTTTCATCCTCATCCAGTGCGTCTGAGAATTTATTTGAAGGGGCGCCGCAAGGCCGAGGCGCACTGGATGTGGGTAAAGCCGCTAGGTGCAACACTCTCATTCATATCCAGTGCGCCTCGGGTTTCTGGGGAAGGAGTAGATATGGACACAAGTCATGCCCGCATCAAGGCCGCGTAATCCTTATGTGCTGCAATCACCTTGCGCACAGAGCCCTCCCTCTCCCAGTTGAATCTCCCGAGGGGGTGGCGGGGGGGGACAGGCTGTCTCCCTCTCCCACGGGGGTGGCGCGAGGGGGACAGCCTGTCTACGAAGTCGGAGAGATTCTCAAAGGCAAGCGCCTTCTTAGAAGGGCCTCGAGGCTCCTAAGCTTAGGTCCGGCATGCCCCCCTACAGGCGAATTTTGGATACAAAGTTCATAAATTAGTCGAACACTACCCCCGAATGATGCAACACATAATGAACAATTTCGTCCCCAGACTATTGTTTTTCTATTTTTGAGTATTCCTCCTGTAGAGGGGCGTGCCTGGCTAAATCCTGAGCGCCTTCTGCACCAGGCCGCCCACTTCGAGCGGCTTGGACCCCTTCTCAAAAACTGTGGCTTTCATCCCGAACCGTTTCCTTGACGGTCCTGGGGGCCGATGCGGGCGCCCGATCACCTCTAGAAACCGAGAATCGTCAAAAACCTCCCCTCGGGACTGCTTCGCGACGAGAGGAGGTCGGGTAGAAGCTCGGAAGGTCCCCTCTGAGCGTGCCGCTGATATCCTAGCTTGCTCCCCTCCCCTGTTTGGGCTCACACGCGTCCCCCTCGTCCTCCCAGCCTGGCAGCTCCGCTAGCTCTCCTCCTCGCGCGGCGCCTGCCCGCCAGGCTCGGGCGCGTGCTGCCACTCGACCTCGACCTCTCGGCCATCGAGCAGGTACCTCCAAGACTCGCGCGCGCGCGTGCCCCCCCCCCCCCCCCCGCGACCCGGTGCTCCTGTCCTGCTGACTAGCCGTAGACGTACTACAAGTAATCGTCGTACTGGTAGTCCTAGGAATCGCAATCGTAAACATAGCAGGACGGACCAGCTCCCAGACTAGGGGCTCACGCACCAATACACACTTAAGGGGCCTTGGGGATCGTTTTGGATCCTCATTCAGAACCTTTAGGAGGGCTCACGAAGCAGCACCCTGACCGGGGCCTCAGCAATCCTTCGGAATCTTTGGGAATTCTCGAGAATCCTGAAGAAACCTTCGGAATCCTTAGGAGTACATGGGGGTTTTTGAGAATGCTTGAATTTTTGTTTGGCATCCTCCTTAGGGGTCCCTGGGGATCCTTACGAATTCTGAGGAACCCTTAAGAATCCTTCGGGATCCTCAGGAATCTTGATGAATCCTTTGGGATCCTTGCGCGGGCTCGGAACCAGTCAAAATCCGCAGGAATCCTCAGGAATCCTTGAGAGACCTTAGGAATGGCTATGGATCCTGAGGAACGCCCACGGGCCAGCATCCAGATAGGGGCCTCAGTATCCCTTAAGAGTCCAGAAGACCCCATCGGAATTCATAGGGATGCATCGGAATCCCTACAAATCATTAAGCATCCTTCGGTTTTGTTGGGGATCCTTACGAATACTTCGAAACCCGGAAGGATTCAAAAGAATTCTTCGGAATCCTGAACAAACCTTTGAAATCATCAGGCATCTTGCGGAAGACCCAAATATCCTTAGGAATCCTCTGGGGTGGTCACGGACCAGTGCCCGGCCCGGGTCCTGAGCAGTCCTTAGGGTTCCTGCGAAATCCTTGCGAATTTTTGAATCCTGAATAATCCTTCGAGAACCTTCGAGATCCTTAGGGAACCTCAGAAAGTCTTCGGAATCCTTCGGGATTCTTTCTGGGATCCCTGGGGGGGCTCACGGACGAGCACTCAGACTGGAGCCTCCGCAATCCTTTGGACTTCTTTGGAATCCTCGGGAATCCTCCGGAATCTTCAGGAATCTCCGGGAGTGATCACGGTCCAACACTCAGACCGGGGCCTCAACACTCAGACCGGGGCCTCAACAATCCCTAGGGTTCTAAGAAATCCAACGGATCCTTCGGAATATTTGGAACCCTATGGCGTGCTCCAGCAATTCTTAGGAGTCCCCATCAAACCTTCGGAATCCTCAGGTATCCTCAGGAATGCTCCAGAAAAAAAATGGGCTCCTGTGGGGTCTCGACGATGAGCAAATCGCGTACAATCCATCGGAATCCGCGGGGATCCTCAGAAGACCCCCTCTCCCCTCCCTCCCCCCCGCGCCCGCGAGAGGACGAAACTTTGAGCTCGGCCGAAAAGCCGGCGGGCGCCCCGCGGCCCTGGCCGCCGCCCCCACCCGCGCCCACGAGTGAGAGCGGGGGGCGCACGGCGCGCGGCCGAGAGGCCGAGGGGCGCCTCGGCCGCCCCCTCCCCCCGGAGAGGGAGCGGCTGCGCGGCTGCGCGGCTGCGGGGCGGGGCGCACACTCCCGGCTGATTGCGCGACACGGCGTGCCTCCCGCGTGCCTGGCGGCGGCGGCGCGGCCAGAGGGATGATGGTCGGGCAGGGGCCGGCCGCCCCGGCATTCCCGCAGCCCTGCCACGGCATGTTCTTTCGAACAAGAGAATGCTCTACGACCAAAGCAGTGTAACGCTCTTAGAACACGAGGCCGAAGCAGCAAAACACGACAGTTTCAGCCAGAACTGTTCTGAGGACACTTCGTGCACACCACAACATGTGTCTTAGGACTTTCTTTGGTGGGCCTCCAGGCAAGCCGGGACACTTCGCCACTGCTTGAGATGGGGCCCTGGGGGTCTGGAGGGGAACAGGAAGGGGCAGCAGGAGCCAGCGTGCTCAACCCTGGAAACCCTGAAGCCCCTCATCTTCGCCGCCATCCGCCGGCGGAACCCGCCGCCGTTGGACTTCCGCTGAGGGCGTGACAATACCAAACTGCCAGACAGACTGGATTGGACCCACCAGTCGATACAGCCCAAAGGGTTCGAGCTCCTCTGGAAACGTGTGGAGCACCAAAGTCCCCCAGGGGAGCCCAGAACCGCGGGGGTAGCGGGTGGGTAGGACAATGGAGGCATGAAGGAATGAGCAGAACGAGCCGACGTGGCGTTCAGACGTATATTGTTGGGTATACCGTCGCGGGCGCTACTGGCGGGGATGCTGCGATTTCGAAAAGGGCCATCGGAATGCATTGGCATGCATGCTTTGTTTTGCTTGCCCGTGGCAGAAGACGATGGGGGCGGTGGGTGCCGTGAGTCTGTCTGCGCAGCCATGCTCAGCGAGCGACGCTGAGGCATGATAACTGCTGGTGTCTCTGGGCGTATTAAGCTGGGTGCCGCACACGTCTCCGAACAGCCTCCGGGCGCGTGCTCATCAAGCGATTTTGTTCGCCCCACTTGCATGAACTAGGGCTCCCAACTTCGCGCTTCGCGCTGCGCGAAGCGCGAATAACTTCGCGCTCTCGCGCCGCCCCCCCAAAGGGAGAATAGGAGGACGAGGAGGAGGGGGAGAAGGAACGAGGACCGCGAAGCGCGAATAACTTCGCGCCCTCGAGGGAGCCCTTGGAGATTGCCACGCTGGTAATGCGATCGAACGTTGCACATACTTTTTCGCTTGCGAAGGCTCCGGTTCAACAAGCGGCCGAGCACACGGCGGGACGCATCCGTTGCGAACTCAGGCGCGTGGGTGGTAGTGGGCGGGGTCGAGGAGAGAGAAGGCCGCGGGACAGCCAGAAAAAACTCTCAGATCGTGCAGATCTTCAGGATTGGACAGTCGGATGCGCAGAAAGAGAAAGAGAGAGAGAGAGAGAAAGAGAGAGAGAGAGAGAGACAGACAGAGAAAGAGAGAGAGAGAGAGAGAAAGAAAGCGAGAGCGGGACGATGCGATGCGACCCTCACCGACCGAAGACGAACTCAGGACGAGGACACTATCGGGTGATGATAGGTCGAGGATCCCTGAGATCTGGCGGTTGCTCTGGAGGATGTCTTGAGCGCCGCGGTCTTCTCCGAACGCTCCAGAACGCACCGAGAGCGTTCTGGAACGCTCTGGAACAGAATTACCGTTATCCTGCGTCGTCGCCAGACACCCGCCGATCAGTTTTTTCCAGTCCGCGGGCTCAGAGGTCCTGACACCTTCCCCAGGGGTGCGTTTTGCCCCAGATCCATGTTCGATGGTCCGGACGCCGAAATCCAAGGAAAACCGCTGTATTGAAAACTCATGACCTCGTATCTCTTGGTCCGGCCACCCCTGTCTACATCAGCCCCCCTTGTGATAAGCAGTACAAGTATCCCTGACCCTTTGGGAGGGGACCCATGTCAGGAGGGCCAAGCACATTAGAGATAGGGGGTCTGTTCTGCAGATGTACCAGGCCGAACCGCCCAGCTCTGTGCTCCCTGATGCGAAGGCGGGGACCTCAGTGAGGCCACGCCTCCATCGTGTTTTCTCAGGGTTGGGGCTGCTTTGGTTCTCGGCGAACTTTGGCGGCCCGGGCGAGCGGGCCTGGAGTGACCCCTCCGTCCGCGAATCGGCGGAGGGATGCCGAAGCCGCGAGAGGCGCCCCTGCGAGCGAGGCCACCGCAGCGGCAGGTGCTCCCAAGGGGACGTGAAGCTTGCGCGAGGAGGACGTGGAGCTTGCGTGAGGAGGGACATGAGAAGGAGGAGGATGAGGATGAGGAGGAGGGGGGGACGCACCAGAAAGGCTGCTTGCGTGGAGGAGGAGGAGGAGGTGGAGAAGGAGGAGGGGGGGAGGTGGCGGCAGAGAGGCGCACCAGAAAACCTGCCCGCTCCCGGGTCGGTAACCCCTCGCCCTCGCGTGGCGGCGTGTACAAAAGGGGGCACGAGAAAGGGGGGAAGGCTTCTTTGAAGGTGGGGGGTCTACTGACCTGGGTCAATCCAAACTTGGGTCAGTCAGGCCCAACAGGATCCTGCAGTATCCTAAACCCTAGCCTTGGTCAGTGCGCCCCTTGTCCTGCAAGATCCAGCGCTCTGGCTGACCCCCGCTTGCATTGACCCCCGTCTCTTGAACCCCGAGAAGGAGGCTGCTTCTCAGAACGCGCCGGCCCTATATCTGCAGACAAGACCCGCGCCTTCTGAGAAGCAGGGCGCTTCTGAGAAGCCTTTCCCCCTCCCCCCTGCCCCTGTCTGCGCGCGGCCGACATGAAGCGGCGCCGCCCTCGCCTCGGGGTGCGTCCGGAGGTAGTACGCCACGTGCTGGTCCAGCAAGTCCTCGCGCAGATCCCCACCCTCTGGTGAATCGCGAAGCGCACCGCGGTGGCGGTGGGGCGAAGTAAGGGACCGGTAAGGGGTGGGGGGGCGCAGGGTGGTGCAGGGGGGAGCAGTCGCAGTCGTCGTGGGGGGGACACGGCGGTGCAAGGGAGAGTGGCGCGGGTGCAAAGGATGCAGGGGGTGCAAAGGCGACGGCGACTGCGCCGGCGCAGGGGGTGCGGTGCAGGGGGGTGGGGGAGGGGGGCAGTCAGATGGGGAGTGGCCCAAATGCCCGTCGCTCCCCGAAACGGCACCAAGATAGCTCGATGTGGCCACGCATCCACCAGAGGATGCCCTCCACCCCCTCCGCCTCGAGAGACCCGAGTAGCCAAACGACAAATGTTTTGCATCAGCGCTGCATTCTCGCATTTGCGCCTCCATTGAACACTGGACTGCAATATGGCCCAATATGGCCCCAGGGTGAACTCAAGAGAGCTCGGAACGGGCCAGAAAAGGGTCCCTTTCGGACCCCGAGCGCTACTAGCGGTACCCCTCGAGATCCGTCAAACAAAAGGTTTCCTGACATGTTGTTTCCGTCGGCGGCAAGTCCAGGGGGGAACAGCGAGGACACCCGCATGAGGGGGTAACGTCAGAGCACCTACACGGGTGATCTACGCGCTATTGCCAAAATCCCCTGCGTTTGGTTGTGCTACGGCACTGTTTTTTTACCAGGGTCAACAGGGCGCACCCCGAAACTCAAAGACAGAGCCCCGGGGTGGTCCAAAAAGAGAGGCTCGCTACCTTCTATCGCGAGTCCCATCGGTCAGTGCTGGGGGGCAGCTGCTGGCCCTTCCGCGTGCCCTGGGAAAAGGGGGCGCGCGGGCTTAGCAGGGCGCCCAAGCCAAGGGGGGGAAGGAAACGACGACACGACTTCAAAAGGAAGGGTGAGTGGAGAGACGGAAAGCCCGAAAGCCAAAACTGTTGCTGGGGGGCTCCTGCTACTTCGACATTTTGAATGCCGTGCTCCCCTCTTCGACTCAGCTCCCTTCTCGGTCGTTCCGAAAGATGTTCCAACTGTACTCTACCCTGCGAGGTAGCTCAGCTCCCCCTTGGAGTGGGTGAGGTAAAGCATGCTGGAAGTCACGGTCATAGGTAGGGCCAATGAGGAGCACCCAGGTGGGCATCATGATGATCACTGTTTTCTCCCTCCACACCCTGCAGATGGGTACCTGAATGTACTCAACAAAAATACTTCCCATTTCGATGGCGGCGCATGCGTAAAAAAAAGAAAGCCCAAATAGTCTGCCGTGAGTAGCATTCCGGGAAGCCTCGCTAATGCTTTTCCTGACTGCCTGTGGACACGGCCAGCTCACAACTTGCCTAGATCAGCACTCCGACCCCTGGCAAACCGCAGGCTCCAGTGGGTGAACTCACTGGTGGCCGCTTGAGCTGGCCGTCGTCGTCTCCTGCGACTTGGGGTAGCCGAGCTTCTCCGCGAAAGCCTCGGTGCCATCCAACATGGTCTGGGTGTTGTCCTTGAGCTTCCGGCGCTCCTTCAGCCTCTTCACTTCCTCTGGGTCCATGTTGTCCTCGTTCTTCAGCTCACTCATGGGGACCCGTACTACTTTGTGGAGGTTATCCTCGTCGTTCTTCGCGATCTTCAGCGCTAGCTCGTGCCAGCTCTGCACTGTGAAGGCCTTCTTCCCCTGCCTCCCAGTGTTCCACTGGGTACCTCGCGATGAGGTCGCAACGTTCGATATTGTGGGTCATCGGGAAAGACAGTGGGAGCATATCGAATAGCCCCTCTGGGCTCATCTTCTTGGCCGCGTCGAAAAAAAATAGACACGGTTCCCGCAGCCAAGGGGGTAAGCGAGAAGGAGGACGCATTCGCAGAGGGCTCGGGAGTCCCCAGTATGTTCTAAGCCTTCCCCGAAGGCAAAGAGAACTCCTCAGAACGCGCGAGGGCTTCCGAGAAGTCCCACCGCCTTCCGAGGAGGCCTTCTCCCTCTCCCTTCCGCCCCCCTGGCTCGCCGCCGATTCCATGCCCCGAGGAAGGACGGCGCGAGGGCGCATCGATCACGCGCCCCCGTTGGGGGCCGATGGCCCACACGATGGCCCCAAGAAAGGCCCGAGACGCCCCCCGCACCACTGGCGCAGCAGCACGATGCCCCAGAGCCGGCACGTCCAGGCGAGAGGCGGCCGAGGGCGAGGGGAGCCCGGGGACACGCAAAGAAACACACACACAAATGCCAGGACCCCCCAGATGTTCCCAGATGTTCCCATCTGTTCCCACCTTTTCCCACATGTTCCCGTATCTTCTGGACTTCCGTCTTCCCCCCCCACATCCCACCTGTTCCCGTCTTTTCCGGGCCGTCGACGGTTGATCGTGTCTGTGTGCTCCTTTCCCTCCTGAGAGAGGAGCACACCACCCAGACTGGCGGCCGCGAGAACGCCAGCGAAGAACGAGCAGAACTCGGAGGCTGAACGGCCCGATGACGAGAGTGTTGCGAGAGCAAGAACCGCCGTGGGGAACGCCTCAGCGTGGTACGGACGAAGAAAAAGAAAAGACATCAGACAAATAACGAAAGTAATACCACGCTGACGTGCTCCCAATTGCGGGGTGCCGTTGATACTCCTTCTAACTCCGGTAATTCGGGTCGGGCGAAAGGTGGGGATAGCAAAGGGGGGGCTTGAGAATCAGCTCACGTAGCTGATTTTCCAGGCGCCTCCCGGCGCTGGAGGGAACCATGTATCGAGGACTGGGCCCCTCGGTGAGGCCGAAACCAGCTGCATACAGCAAATTTCGTAACCCCCCCTTTCCCAATCCCCCCCTTTCGCCCGGCCCGAGTGATACGTGCACCCACCGCGACGCAGGGATCCAAAGCGATCCTGGCCCTGGGGCGGGCGCGTGAGGGGGAGGATGGGGGCGAGAAAGGCTGGCCACCAAGGTGACGTTCATCCTTCTTCCGCCTGCGGCTGGCAGTCGCACCCTGTTCCTCGCCATCGCTCGGACGTCCATTCCCTGTGCTCTTTTCGGTTCCGTGCGTGTTTTTTGTTTTTGTTGTTGTTGTTTTTGTTTTTTTGCCAAATGATCGAGGATGCTCCTCGATGGTCCTCGCCGGAAGAAAAAACGCACGCGTCCGAGCGATGCCAAGGTGCCTCCCGTCCTCATGCATCCCTCCTGGCTGCCTCCAGCCCTGTGCTGCGCGACCCCCGATGGTGCGCTGCGCCCGCGTCCGCGCGGTCCGCCGCACGCCTCGGGCCCCCGAGGCCCACCAATAGCTCGCCTGAGCGAGGGGCGAGGCAGGGCGAGCCCTCGCGAGAGGCCGGGGCCGTGCAGAGGTGCAGTCGGCGAGTCGCCGCCACCCTAAGGGGGGCCCTCCTCCTCCTCCTCCTCCTCCTCCTCCTCCTCCTCCTCCTCCTCCTCCTCCTCCTCCTCTCTCCTCCTCCTCCTCCTCTCCTCCTCCTCCTCCTCCTCTCCTCCTCCTCCCTCCCCTCCTCCTCCTCCTCCTCCTCCTCCTCCTCCTCCTCCTCCCCCGCCTTCTCCCGGGGCTGCCGCCGCCGCCGGGCTTCGACTGCACGCAGAAGTGGCCCTGTTGGCGGGCGGGACCTCCGGTGCGCGGCTTTAGAGGGGGCCGAGGGTGGCCCAGGTCCGAGCGCGCAGGCCAGTGTTGCGAGGGGCGACGGCAAGCACAAGGAGGGGGGCGCACCGACCTGGAATCGGCGAGGCGTCGCCGATGGCTCGCCATCGCTCGGACGTCCATTCCCTGTGTTTTTTTGGGGGGGGGGGTCGTGCGTGGTTTTTTCGCCAAATGATCGAGGATGCTCCTCGATGGTCCTCGCCGAAGCAAAAATGCACAAGTCCGAGCGATGCCGAGATAGATCGGCGATGGGCCCCCGATAGCGCAGCCGCACGTTTCCTGTCGGGCTGGGGATGTCGGGCCCGTAGCGGTAATCAGTGTGGACGATTGGGGGTCGTTGCGTCCCGCCTACCCTTGAGTCGGGCGTGTCCCCCTTCAGGGGGATTTTCGACGAAAAACAAGAAATACCCCCAAAATTATCAAAAAGTAGTCCAGAAATAGTCTGGGGACTATTTTGGAGGTATTTTTGTTTACCTTTTTGGGCCATTTTTTGATTTTTGTTTCTCACTTTTTTGTCGAAAATCCCACTGTGAGGGGGACAGGCCCGACAAAAGCCTACGCCTCTCCTACTATCGCTGCCCCTGACGTGGGCCCGCACCAACAGCCACTCTGGAGATGGGCCACCCCTGCGCGTAGCCGAAACCTCCGCTCCCCGCCGCGCCTCCGCGGCGACCGGCCGCCGCCGGTCCGCCGGGACCCCGGGGAGTCTCGCCGCGCCCGCGGGGGGGGCCCGCCGCCTCACGGCCGAGGCCGGGGCCGTCACCGCCGCACATGACGGCCATGGCTCCCGGAGCCGCCGCAGGACCTAAGGAAAAATGTTTTTTTGCGATTCGCGGGGCGAGGGCGAACCTCTTCCGCTAGAAGCTCGGCGGGCTACGCGCAGCTTTGATCAGGGAGACTGGGCACAGGAAGGCGGGGCCTCCGGCGGCCAGGAGCGGGCGGGGCCCGGGGGATAGGCGGTGCCGCCTAAGAAAACAAGAAGCGGCACGAACAGCGCTCCGCGCGGATTTCCTGGATCCGCGCTGGTACCCCCTCCCTGGCGCGCGGAGCGCGCCATGGGGGGGCGCCGGAGGCGCCGCAGGGGGAGGCCCCGCGCGGATCCGAGAAAGCCGCGCAGGGCGCCGAGTGTTTATGCTTATGGCGTTTTTCTTCTTCGGGAATCACGGCCAGGCCCCGGGGCAGCTGTCGGACCGTCGATAGACGAGCGAGTTCCGCGACTCGCAAGAAGCTTCTGCTCGTGGATGGCCTGCATCCGCTGGGCGGGGTCTACGCTCCGTGGCAGGGACGCAGACATGCGCTTCGTTCGGGCGCTTGCGCGTCGTGGAGCGCGCTCGAGGAGCCGAGGGGGGCGCGGGCGTCGCCGTCTCGCCAGGGCCGCATGGCCGCTGGCCAGGACAGGGGGGGCGCCGGCGCACGCGTCGGGCGGGGAGCCGCCCAGTCGCCGAGGCGGGGGGGGTGGCGCCGGGCCCGTGCCGCGGGCCGCCTCGCCGAGGGGCAGCGTTCGGGAGGGGCCAGCTTCGGGGGGGGGGGAAGCATCGGCCCGGAATCGACGAGGCACCGCCGATAGATCGGCGATGGGCCCGCAATCGCAATTTCCGCACTTGGGCGCCCGAGTTATCCGGGGTAACTCGGGTCCGGGGTAACTCGGGTTTGGATTCCCGAAAAAGGAACCCGAGTTAGCCCTGACCCGAGTTACCCCTGATGATGTGGGGCTCTGGATGCCCGAATTATCCGGGGTAACTCGGGTCCGGGTTAACTCGGGTTCGGATTCCCGAAAAACGGACCGGAGTTAACCCTGACCCGAGTTACCCCTGATGATTCGGGGCTCTGACGCACGCTCCTGTGGATGCTGGGGCCATGGGGACTATCGGCGATGCATGGGCGGTTGGTGGTCGATGCATCCACCCCTGAGCCTATCCCCCCCTAGCTAGACGAAGAAAAACAGCACAAACAGGAACTTTTGGAGGTCTGCGCAGATCTCTTGGATCCGCGCTGGAGCCCCCTCCCCTGCGCGCGGAGCGCGCCAGGGGCGGCGCCGGAGGCGCCACCGGAGGGGGGGGCCCTGAGCGGATCCGAGGAATCCGCGCGGAGCGCCAAACATCTAGGTTTCTGATGTTTTTTCTTCTTCGACTAACGTCGCCCCCGACTTGGTTTCCGCCGCCGCCGGGAGACGGCCGTCGTCGCCAAGGGGTGGCGGGCCGGCCGAGGGAGGAAGCGGGGCCCAGAGGTCCAGCGTGCTGTCGTTGTGTATGCGGGGCCGTCGCAGTCCCAACCCTTTCCCCACTTGGATCGCCGCGGGGGTTGCCAAGAGGATAGGGGGATACAAGTGGAATGCGAAGGTGGACTCTATCCGGCCAAACCAAGCATAGAAGTGGGTGGCACGTGCCCAAAGTGGCTCAAGGGCGTGCAGATGAGGGCCGAGTGGGCGGAGCCCACTTGGCGGAGTCGCCTCATCATCCAAAGCCAAATGTTGCCCTTGTAACCCACTGATAAAGTGGGTTGGGCCAGATATCGCCACTTTAGCGTCCACTTCTAACCCCCGATCCCCTTAGCAACCACCGCGGCGATCCAAGAAAGGCTGGCTTTCACCCTGCGCCGCCTCGTGACGGCCCCAGGGCCGGCGAGGGCCCTCGCAGAGGCCGGAAGCGGTGACGAACATTCGCGTGGATCGTTTCCACGCGTGGGAGGTCTGAGGGGGGGGCGGGGTCGCCGCCAACCCGAGCGCCGTCGCCGCTGTGGCGGCGGCGGCGTCGTCCGCCGCTTTCGCCGCCTGCAGGGGCGCGCGTCGAGGCGCCGTGCGTCTGCTGGCGCCAGCGATGGGGGAGGGGGGGGGGGTCGGAGGTCGGCGGGCCAAGCATGGGGCCATGGGAGGAGGAGGGGGAGGGGGAGGAGGGGGAGGGGGAGGGGGAGGAGGAGGAGGAGGAGGGGGAGGAGGAGGGGGAGGAGGACGCATGGGGCCCTCTCAGGGCGCAGTCAACCCGCATCGGAAGGACGCCCGATGAGGATGCAAGGGCCACGGAAGGCCAGGCCGACACTTGGCGAGCGGGGCGCGGCCAGCGGAAGCGGCCAAGGATGGGCCGAAGGGGAAGGATGCAGGGGCGACCTTGGGAATTTGCGTATCCTTACTGTGCGGGTTGACTGTATGGTTAAAGTGGCCCAGGGACACACAAATAAATAGACACAAACCCAGGATTCCCAATAGTTTCACAAAGATTATGGATTTTCGTCTTCGCCTCTACTTCCCATATGTTCCCATACTTTCCTGGGGGTCGAAATTGTGTCCGCGTGTTTTTTCTCCACTCCTCCCCCTGAACCTTCGCTGTTTGAGGCCACTCGTCCTCAGAGCCCCCTCCCCCAGAGCCCCACCTTCAGACCGCCGAGGAGGAGGGGGGGCGTCCTCGACGTCATCGAGTAGGCTCTTTGCGAGTAGTGGAGCGCGCTCGGAGATGAGATGCTCGCGCATGTCGTCACCGTGGCCATCGTGGATGGGATGGTGGAGATAGTTGCGCAGAGCGTCATGACCTGCTAGTGGCACCAACCTGATTGGATACGGAAGGACAGCGCCATGTGCAAGTCAGATCTGGTGCTGTCCTCACGCCCCCAAGCCCGTGGTCAGGCTCTGGGCTGGCCAAAAGAAAAACCTGTATGATTGTATGAATTGCCACTCGCTGCAACATGCTGGAACATCTGCGGCGTCGAAACACTCGTGGCCGACCACGGAAGCAACTCCTGCACACAACACTGTCTTGCTTCCGCCGCCTTCCGCCGGCACTCCGCTGGCGCGGGCGCCACCGCTTCACCCCCGCCGTCTCCCGCAGCCCTTCCGCCGAGTGCGAGGCCCATCCTGGGCCTGCCGCTGTGCACTGACCCGTTCCCCTCGCGCGGCGCCTCCATGTCCACGGCGTAGGAGCCGTTCGCGCGCGTGGCCGAGGGCATGGAAGCCTGGCCCGGGGGCCGGCGGGCCCTCAGCCCAAGCCGCAGGAGCCACCTGGATCACCGGTCGACGCAGAAACGCGCGCACTCACTGCCGCCTCGAACGTGGTCGGGTTTTTGCTTTTGCCTCCGCGGCTTCACCACGTCGGCCCAACGGGCGACTCCTTACAGCATCTGTGGCAAATGCTGTGAGCAAAATGCACAAGGCAGCAGGTGCAACAAAATTGGGCGACCTCGCCTCGGCGGGCGCCGCATCGGGGAGGGGGCTGCGCGAGTTCCTGTCGGAGCGCCCACTCTGGCCCCCTCCCCTCACGGATCGGTGCCGGCCGCAACAGGGCATGAAGAGGATCGGACTCTCCGTGGCCCCGGCCGTTGCGGCGAAGTTACGGGGCGCTGGTCTGCTAGAGAATTGCGCAACGAGCCCGCCGCAGGCGCCAATTAGTGCTGGTCAAGACAGTGTGGGGTGGGTCGCGGGCGGGCCGCGGTGGCGTTGTGGGCAAGTCGACGGCGGGCCGCGTGTGGGGTGGCTCGCGGTTGGGTCGCGGGCTGGTCGCGGGTGAGTTGCGCGCCAGTCGCGGGTGAGTTGCGCGCGGGTCGCGGCGGAGGACGTCGAGGACGAAAACATTAGATCAATCGCGGCAACCTGCACCACATACCTCCACTTCAGCCACACACCCAAGGACTGTGTATGACCTTTCGGTCCCCTCACTCTGACTTGGAAAATGATGCCAGCCTAATTCGCGAGCTTCACTGCAAGACATGCTGAGGTGCACTCAGGTTGTCATCAGCACCAGCCGGTCCTTCATTCAGATTGGGGAGCAGGCGTGCCACGAGAACGACAAGTACTCAGACATGCTTCAGCCCCGCATATCGAGGATATGCAACATCTTTTCAATCAACCACCTCTGTAAGCCAAACGTTGTGTAGTGTACAAGCCCTGGGTTGTAAACTGAATGTGGTCATCGACAAGTTGTTCGCGTTGATCCTTTCCTTCCTTTGTCAATGTGCTCGTCGCCCTCCAAACTCAGGTGGGCTTCGGACTGCCATCAGCACTTCCGCCGCGACAGAGATAGACAACTAACAAATCTTTTATTGCCCCGAGTTGCGTGGCTGAAAAGGCGTCCGCGGTGCGGGTTCTTATTGTTGCTGTCATGTTGATGCCAATTTATTCTACTTTCACGGTCCGCGCCAATTGTCCAGAGCGGGTACGGAGAAGAGACCACCCCAACGGGAAACGAACGAAGACGAAGAAGATGGGTGGGCACGCGGGTAAACGATCACGACGTCTTCAATCACACATCAACTTGCACTGACACGCAATACAGGTGGGTGTGCGGGCGATAGTGCAGACCGAGCACGTGAATCTCAGAAGCGGCATAGAAATGCTGAAACATCCTCTCTCTCTCTCGACCGCGGTCGCCTCGCGGGCTGTAAAACGTCTGCTTCGTGGCGACTGAGGGTATGTGGATGTGCTTGCGCACGCGTGGCCGTGTGATCGTATCGCCTGTGCGGGGCTGTCGGGCTGAAACGTAATCTGTGGCTCTCAGATGGCCGTCCGAGACGATCCGGGTGCCCCCGCAGAGCTCTCTGCGAGGCGCATCTGCTGGAAACCCGCAGAGCACCAACGACGCCTCGAGCCTCGAAGCCTCGAAGCCTCAACGCCTGAACTCGAGCCTCTCAGCCTCGAGCCTCGAGGAACCGAGACCTGGAGCCTCGAACCCCGAACTCGCCACCCCCAGGAGCCTAACGTTGCCCCACGTGGAGGTCCCCTCCCTCGCAGAGACGGTCCGCACGCGTGGCCCGCTGGCGGGCGGCGGCACCTCGGTCGACGGCAGGTCGTCCGGGAAACTCCGCCCCTGTGCGGAAGCACCAGCCGACCTGGAGACGGGCGCCCCTGGCGTTGCCATGCGCCCGCGCTGCCCCATCATCACCATAATCATCATCAGCATCATCATCATCACCATCATCATCATCGGCATCAACATCATCATCAACAACAGCGTCATCATGATTCCCATCCTCAACATCACAATCGTCACCGTCATCGTTTTCATGCTCATTCTAGTTGTCATCGTCATCATCATCGTCATCATCATCATCATGGCCATCACCATCACCATCATCGTCATCATCCTAGCCGTCAGTATCGCCATCATCGCCATCAACTTAGGCACGACCCTCACATGTTTTGTGGCCACACAGGGGGCTCAACCGAAAGTCCCAGTGGCGCAGCCCGCATGCGTCTCCCCCCACCTCCAGTGCAGCACTTCGTGGTTCCGTAGGGAGCTCCACAAGAGGTCCTGGTGGCGAAGCCCGCATGCGTCTCCCACGCCCACCGCAACGCTTCGTGGCCTCAGAGGGAGCTCCACCGAAGGTCCTGGTGTCGCAGCCCGCATGCGTCTCCCCCAACCCAGTAAGGCACTTCGTCGCCCCGCAGGGAGCTCCACCGAAGGTCCCAGTGGCGCAGCCCGCATGCATCCCCCCCACCCAGTACAGCGTTTCGTGGCCCTATAGCACGCTCACCGAAGGTCCCTACGTCGCAGCCCGCATGCGCCTCCCAAGATTTGTGGGAGGGTCCGGGTGGGAAAACATCTCCCGTTCCGACAATATCCCCTGAATAGTTTTGTTTGGAAAGCGTCGCCCCCCCCCCCCCCCCCGAGAGCCGTGTGGGTTAGGAGGGTCCGGGGGAGGATTGGGTGGGTCTGGGAGAAGAACCCCCCCTCTCCCCACCTCCCCTGAAAGGGTTTTTGCTTGGGGGGGCCGCGGGGAAACCCCCGTGCCCCTGAAGTGTTTGTTTGCAGGGGTCCGGGGGGGAAGGTCTCCCCGCTTCCAAACCAAAAAACATTAAGGTTATTTGTTACCCCCTAAAAATTCTTTCGTAGGGGGGAAATCGGCGTTTCGGCCGCAATCTCTCACGACTGGTCGTTTGGTCCGTTTGGGGGGTTTCATGGTTCCTCATGGCCTGGTTGGCTCCAATCAGGAGCGGCGGTGTCGGCGCGTGTCGTAGGTGTTGTGTGGCTTGCCGCCCAGCTCGGGGGCGGGGTAGCAAGTTCCCGGCGTCCTCGTCGCCACGTTCGCCGTGGCCACGCGGGCGCGCTCCTGGCGGAATCGGTCTGCCCAGTGCGCGTGCCTCCTCTGTCCCTGCGGGGTGTGCCGCGGCTCTGCCGGGCTGGGGAGGCTTGGCTCCGGCGGCTTTGGTGTTGCCGTTTTTGCCCGCCCGCCCTCCCTGGTGGGTGTGGTTCGCTGCTGCCCGCGCCGGCAGCGGTGTCTTGTTGGGGTGCGGGTCCGGCGTGTCGGACAGCCTCGCTTGGGGGCGTGCTCGCCTGTCACGCCGGCAGCGTCTTTTCTGCTGTCCCAATGCAGGCGCGCCCACCCCAACGGAGGCAGTGAGAAGATTTTCTGGAGGGGGTCCAGGGGCCAACATGTCCCTAATCCCGCCGAGCCCCGCCATGAGGCTGCTTCTGAAGAGGGGGGGGCCCGAAGGGAGAACCCCCTCACCCCCCCCGCAGTGGCGGTCTCGTTCCTTACCAGCCCGGAACATATCCCTATCCCTATGTTGGGCATCGCCTCATCACGATGGCGATCTTAGGGATTTCCTCAGTTTCTGAGGGCGTATCCCTAAGACTGTCGTCTCCTCTTAGCGTGTCATTCTTGGGGATAGGGATACGTTCGAGGCTGGTGAGCTTCTGGTGTTCCAGAGGGGTCGTTTGGGGCACTGCCGCCCCCCACTGGGCCGATCCGGCGCACGGGCGGCGAAAACGTGTCCGTATCTCCGCGCCTCGCTGGCCGACTCCAGAGGGCGCGGCCCTGCGGATATGCGCGGTCGCTGCGCGGCAGCGTCCCGCGCGGGCCGTCCGCGAGCAAGAGCGCCCCGCATCCGCAAGGTCGCGGCCTCGGGGCCCGGCCCGCGGGGCCCGCGCACACGCCAGGAGAGCCCAGAATCGAATCGATAAGTCGGATCGGCAATCGAAATCAATCGTATCGGAGGAAATCGGCAACCGAGTCGGGAAAAGTCGCATCGGTGGAAATCGGCAGGCTAGTATGCGTCCAATGAGAAATCGGAACCAACATCGGAATCCCAAGTCGAATCGAATCGGAATCGGAAGCCATGGAAATCGAATCGAATCGAATCGGAGAAATCAAAACGAGCCCTGGTATACAGTGGAGGCCAGTCCACGAGAGATCTTCCACAAGAAACCCGACCCTGAGACCCCTGAACGTCCATCGACTTTTGGGCGTGGGAGCGTCGCGCTCTCGGTGGCAAAGCCATCGAAAACCACGAAACCCAGGGCACCCTGGAGGCACGCAGGGCGTTTCTTGGCATGGGCCTCCACTGTATGCCATGGGCCAGGGGCACTTCTAGCAGCGCCCCTGGGGGCCTCCGAGCCGCGTGAGGGGTGCTCTAGAGGCCGTGGGGGTCTCCTTGGAAATCCTGGGGGCACCTTTTTCGGCACCTTATCCTGATGTGAAGATCTTCGGGTTCAAGACGAATATCAGAGGCTTTCATGTTTATCGCGTCGAACAACAGGGTATCGACCAAACGAAAAATAATATGTAAAAGTGGATGGTCGTCGACAACAATGGAGACCCGACCATAATCAACCTTCTGCAAGAACTCCAGCCCTGAGACCACAGACGTCCATTGATTTTTGGGGGGTGGGAAACCCACGCTCTCCATGGCGAAACCATCGCACCCCGAGAAACCCATGGCACCCGGGAGGCAAGCGGGGTGCTCCTTGGCAGGGGTCTCCCCTGTGCCACCGAATCATGAGCGGCCAATTGTCTTCTGATTCTGGCCACGGTCGGCGTCGGCACCGGGCAGGTCCCCCGACGCAGCGCCGACGACCGGTGTCGGGGAACCGGCGCCCCCCCCGAGCCCACACTTTGTCCCTCCTCCGGAAGTCTGGACCGCACAGGGCGTTCACGGGGAGTGCACGGGGTCCAGAGAAAGATCAGGGCGTCCATGGGGGTGCATGGGAGTCTGGGGAGCCTGGAGGTTTCAGGGAGCCCCGAAAGATATATGTGTATATATATATGTATATATAGATGTAGATGTAGATATAGACATGCCTAGACAGAGAAAGGGAGAAGAGACCGCGAGAGAGAGAGAGAGAGAGAACCAAAAAGAGTTCAGCAGGACCGAAACGCAACCTGCCTTGGAACGCCTCCCTCCTGCTGCCGCGCTGTCAATGATCTTGCTGCTGCTACTACGACCGCCGATTCGTCCACCGCCAATCCTCCTCTAGCCAAGCGCCGAGTGAGACGGTTGTAACGGAAGGCGATGTCCAGAACCAGCGATACCGCAAGCTTCCAGTTCCATGGTTTCTTCTCTCGCGCTCCCTCTTCAGAATTATGGAAACTCTGCGCTGAGCCTACTGCTATTGAAATCTCAGCGTGACCATCCCGCTCGGCTCCAGCAATGCTTTCAAGAGGCCACCACCCTGATCAAAACACTCCCTGGCTGGGCAGATCGCGATCAGCCCGATTGCGACCTGTCCTTCGCTCTGACTATCCCGGGCCTTTTCTGAAAGCAGAGCGCCCCGCGACCTCGGCCGCCATGGAACGAGGAGCCGTGCCAAACGAGGCCTTCACGGGGGCTGGCGTGCCGGAATCACCCGGGACCACCCCAAGGGCACAGTGAGGCAACCCTGGACTGCACCGTGGGTCTGCTGGTGCGCAGCCCCACGCCTTGCCGAGCCAAGGCTTAGGTTGGGCATGTCCCCCTACAGGCGAGTTTTGGACGGAAAATGCAAAACCATTCACACAATGATCAAAAAGTATAGAAAAATCGTCCACTGACTATTCTTTGATTACTTTTGAACATTCCTCCTGCAGAGGGACATGCCCGACTTAACCCCAGGATCCGACGTCGTGAGCAACGCGCAGCGACTCCCCCCACCCACAAGGTACCGCGATCAATGCCCTCGAACCAAGCCCTGGACAGGATTCCTCGGCCTGGATCGATCCGTGAGGGTCATCCTGCGGTCCTCAAGCGCCGACGGAACACGTCAGGTCATGCGTGTTCGGCATCGGCATTGGCATTTGGGGGGTCCGGGGGCGCCGACGCGGCGCGGGAAACACCTGCGTGAAGCTTCGCGGAGGCATGCGGGAACCCGAGGCGAGGCGAAGTCACCCGTCGTGCATTTTGTCACGACGCTTAAATCGGGCGTGTCCCCCTACAGGGGCATTTTCGACGAAAAATTAAAAATACCCTAGAAATAATCAACAAATAATCCAAAAACAATCTAAAAATAGTCTGGGGACTATTTTTGGAGTGCATTTTTACCTTTTTGGGCAATGTTTTGGATATGAATTATTTTTCGTCGAAAATCCCCCTGTAGGGGGACAAGCCCGACATAACACGACGCCCGGACCCTGGGGAGAGAGCGGCGCCGGCGGCAGGCGGCGCGGCGGACGTGCTCGGCGTGATGTCGCGCTTGGACCTGGCAGGGCCGCCGCCGGGAGAACCCTCCCTGGCCCAGGGTGTCCCCAACTGTTCGCTCGACGTTGGGCCCCCTGGGGCCCTCCGGGCCGCGTGAAGGGTGCTCTGGAGGCCGTGAGGGCCTCCTTGGAAATCCGGGGGGCACCTTTTTCGGCATCTTATCCTGACGTAAAGATCTTCGGACTCAACATGAATGTCAGAGGCTTTCATATTTATCAAACGCACAACAGGATGAACAAGCGGATAGTTGTCGGGAATTTCAACTATGCCGTGGACCAGGGGCACTTCTGGGTGGCAACGACATGGGGGGACGGGCAAAGGGGGAATACATCGACCTGGAATCGGCGATACATCGCCGATAGATCGGCGGAAGGCCCCCGAAAATGAATCCGTAGGTTCCTGGGCAGGTTTGGGCTATTGGGCCCCTATCGGCGATCCATGAGCGACTGGGGGTCGATGCATCCCCCCCTGTGCCTATCCCCCCCTATCGTTCTCTTGATGGCTCCCTGCGCGGGCTGCGAGGCGTCTGGTGGAGGCACATTTCGTCCTGCGGGGCCTGCCTCCAAGAAACCTGAGGAGGTGTCCTGGATCCTGCCAAGCCGAGCGCTGGTCGACAGGGCCAGTCGACAGTCTCCAGGGGGCCGAGATCGCTTCAATTGTCGGGTGATTCTCTCTTCTGCTGCTTGCCCTGCTCCTCGGGGCACTGGGCGGGCGCGGGGCACGACCGTTGTCAAGCTCGGTGCGGTTGCAGTGCAAAGCATCGGCGACGTGCCCAGCGGGAGCGCCACGTTGCTCCTGCGCCTCGGCGTGCGAGTTCGTGTGCTGAGTTCCGCCGAGTGCCACGTCAGATTTGTGAATATCTGCCCGCTCAGATCAGAGCAAGGTAAATGTGTGCAGCTCTTTACTGCAATCTGCTGCTTCAACTGTCACGTCCTGCTGCTTCTGCTGTAACATCCAAGAACCTGAAAAGACGGCGAGCACTTTTTCGGCCCTTTGTGGGTGTGGTGTGGTACTGCGGTTCCCCCCCTCTACTGGTGCGGTGTGGTGCTGTGGTGGCACAGATAGATGACTGGAGGTCCAGAGGTCGCCGTCGTCGTTCGTCGCCATTTCCCTCGTCATTGTCGTCGGCATCGTCCTCGTCGTGGTTGCCGTTGTCGTCGTCGTCCTCGTCGTCTTCCACGTTGCCGTCGCCATTGTCATGTTTGTCCTCGTCGTGCCACGAGGAGGACGACCACGACGGTCGTGGTCGTCCTCCTCGTCGACTTCGACGTCCTCGTCGTGGACCACCCCAGAAAATCATCTTTGGTAGCCTGGCCCGTTCTTCAGAACGGCGTCCGAAGGCCCAGGGCCCTTCCGCAGACAGCCTTCGCGGAGCTTCAGGCTTGGCTCGAAGCCGGCGCCCTTGCGCCAGCAAGGGGCGTGGGGAAAGCGCTGCCTGGCTGGAGCCTCCTGGACCTCGTCCCGAAACTCCCCGCCAGGTCAAGGCGCCGGCGAGAGCCGCGAGGGTGGCGTGGGCGGGCAAGAAAGAGGGGACACACGGAAACCGCCGCACCACACTGGGAACCCAACGAGAAGCGGGCACCCTGGGTGCGTCGCGGGAAGGCAACGACCTGGCGAGAGAAACCCGGGATGCTTGGTTTTGCCGCGAGAAGGCAGGGACCCCTGGTACCCGCGAGAAGGCAAGGACCGGAAAGCGTAGCCCGACAGGCTTCGGTTCTCCCGCGAGAGGGCAGGGACCCTGGGTTTGCCCGCGAGAAGGCAGTGACCCTGCACGCGGCATGTCACACGGAACCTGGCAGAGCCCACGAGAAGCCAGCGACCCGAGAGTGAGAAACACGGTGGCCTGAGTTTGCCCGCGAGAAGGCAGGGACCCTGGGTGTGCCCGCGAGAAGGCAGGGACCCTGGGTTTGCCCGCGAGAAGGCAGTGACCCTGCGCGTGGCTTCTCACAGGGAACCCATCCGAACACACCTTGCTATTAAGGAACCCTGCGGTCAGAAGGCCAGGCCCAGCAGAAAACGACCGCGGTCAAGGAGCGCAGCACGCTTTCGCGCCGCCGCGCCACTGGCGCCGGGATCCCACGGATTCACGGACGAGCTGGGCCGAGCGGCGCGACGCACGACCTGAAGACACGGGAGCCGCGCCGAGACATACTTCCGCCGCTCCAGAACAAGCGGGCCGGCGCGCCGAGGACCGCACGCCCGCGAAGCAGGCACCGAGGCGCATGAGCGGAGGAAAGGGGGTGAGGCGAGCGACCGCGGGCCTGCTCCACATGATTTTCCTGTGCCAGAATCAAGTTTACGCTTCATTCCCATCTGGAGTGGGGCCGTGGAATTGTGGGACCCATCCCATCTGGGGCATTCGACCCTGGATCACACACACACACACATCTATATCGCGGACTGTGGAAACCATGAACCCAAAAATGTTGTCAACTCTTGGGGGCCGTTTTTTTCCTTCCGCCACCTTCCGCCGCCCTTCAGCTGGCTTCCGCCTGCGGAGGCGGCCGCGTTTTACTTCCGCCGACCTTCCGCCGTCCTTCCGCCGGTCTCCACCGCGGAAGAGGTGACTGCTCCTTCTATCCTCGAAGGCAAGACCCTTTCTGGAATGCCCCATAAATACACATATGTCCACAGGCTCACCAAGCTCTGCACAACTATACCACCGCGTGGCGGGCCCCTTGCAACACGCGCCTGGCCTTCAGCTTTCCTCATGCTATGCTCATCCTCTCCTTCCCTTGCCATTCAAAGTGAATATGTAATCACATTGCGCCATTGGGTCTCATTAAACTAACCGGCAATGGAGAATCCTGCTGCGGACCAAAGTAAAATAGTGATGAATGATGAACACCTTACAAGACATTTGACGACTCCGAGCCCTGCCATCCTCTGTCACCCTTATTATTCGCAAGTGGGCGGACATGCTTGGCGACATGCCCATTCCTGCCGAGCGCATTCGCATAGTAGACCTGGCATGGGGAGGACGACGGCAACGACCAAACCACTGCTTCTCAGGAGTGTGCCGGTTTCCCTTCCCCCACTCTGTGCGGACCTCCCGCCAGGTGCCTCCCCGTTGCAGAGCCCGTTGCACGTTAAACCTCTCTTCCACGCTTGACCTACGCTCCCCCATTTCTCTTCTATTCTCACTCTGTGCCTGCTGCTACTCACTGTGCTACTCTAATTGGAACGGGACCGATGAATGGCAGTGTGCTCGCCCCTTTGAAAGAAAATGCCACGGGGATGGGCGGGAATCCGCGAGCACTGGACAATGCCAGCCTAACCCTGCATTGTCAATGGGCACAGAGAACATAACACGCATACTAGCGGCTCTGCGTATAATTGATTAGTGTGACCCTCCGAGCTTATGAACACCTCTCCCTCCTCCACTCCCCCTCCCCCTCATTCATAGCTCAAGTCTGCGCTAGCTCCGTCGAACATGTCGAACACAGCCCAATCAGTATGTGCCAAAGTGGAACCCAAGCAGTGTGTCATTGTACACTGTTGTGCAAGCTGTGCGGTGTACGTGAAGCGGCACAATTTAATGTTGTGTAGGTTATGCGGCGCAAGCTGAAGACACGATGTTTAACCTACGTGGTGTAAGCTATGTGGTGTAAGCTATGCGGTGCGAGTTACGAGGTGCAAGCTGGGTGATGTAGGCCGTTCGGGGCAGTCCCTGTGGCGTACGCCAGGTGCTGCCAGCAGCTGCGTGGTGTACGCCGCGGCGCTTGTTCCCGACGCGCCCACATGGACGACGCGGACGCAACGGCGAAGCCACAGCAAACCCATGGCAGGCCCTGTTCCGAGGCCACGTTTGCCCTGGTGGCCGCGGCGTCCTCCCCAAGACGTAGGCACATGGACGACGCGGACACCACGGCAAACCCACAGCAAGCCCATGGCAGGCCCTGTTCCGAGGCCACGTCTGCCCTGTTGGCCGCGGCGTCCTCCCCAAGACGTATGCACGTGGGCGACGCGGACACCACGGCGAACCCGCAGCAAGCCCATGGCAGGCCCTGTTCCCGAGGCCACGTTTGCCCTGGTGGCCGCGGCGCCCTCCCCAAAGACGTCGGGCCCCGCGCGTCGGCACAGCCGGCGCGGCGACCCCCCTGTGGTGCGAGCTGCGCGGCGCAAGCTGCCTGGCAGGGTGCAGTCCTGGGGCCGCCCATAGCCCGCTCTGCAGGAGGAGGAGGAGGAAGAGGAGGAGGAGGAAGAGGAGGAGAGGGAGGAGGAAGAGGAGGAGGGGGGGGAGTAGGGGGGAGGGGATGTTCAGAGTCCTGGTTGGCAGCGTCCTAGTGGCGGGAGCCCTGGCCATCCTCGGTTGTTAGACCATTCTTGAATATTCCTCCTGTAGAAGGACGTGCCCGACGTAAGCTTCCTCCCTCCTCCGAGCGGCCAGGCTTTGGGGGGGGAGCTCGGGGACCGGGGGCGAGAAAAATCGCTTGCGAGGCCGCTCCTTCATGGGCCCTCCGCCATGGGGCCGGGCCACAGGAGGGTCGAAGGCTCGCGCCGGCTCGCCGATGCGTCGGCGACACTGCGAGATCTTGGAGCCCCTTCTGGGAGAAGGAGAACTGCACAGGTCCGCTCTCTTGACCCTCCTCCTCTCCCCTCCTTTTTGCGCCCCCCCCCCCCCCGAGGAGGAGGGGGGGGGAGGCCGGCCAAGAGAGCCGGCCCGACAGTCCTCCTCCTCCCGCATCCTTCTCCCTCCCAGCCGTCGCCGCTGCCTCGGCGCTGCAGCGCGGCTCTCCGAGCCCGCCTGCTCCGGCCCCGCGTGCCCGGAGGAGGGCCGCTTGGGACGACGGCGGCTCTCCCGCCCAGCGTCGGTCCCCGAGCCCTCCCCGGGTCCAGCTCGGCCCGGCTGCTCGGGGCGGATAGGTGCCGAAGCCTGGGCAAGGGCCCCCACAAGCCCAGCGACACAACGAGGCACACGAAAGGTCAGCATTTGTTCGGGGGGGTCTGGGATGGAAGAACTCCTGTCCCATGCCCCAGCAAACGGGGCGCTAGTAAACGGGCTGGTAGCCAAGGGTGCGTCCTCAATGCTGTTTTCTCTCGAACAGCTGATTTGCCGCGCACAAGTGCGAGGTACTCCCCCCGCACCCAGAGTTAGTTATGATGATGTGCCGACGCTCTTGTCGCACCGCCGCATCACGCGCTGGTGCAGGGCAACTGCCCTGTCGCCCCGTTCTCGCCTGTAGAGGCCCCTCAACTATCGGGCCGGGCGAAAGGGGGGGATAGCAAAGGTGGGCGTTGAGAATCAGCTCACGTAGCTGATTTTCCCGGCGCCTCTGGGCGCCAGGAGGCGGCCATGTATCGAGGAATGGGCCCCTCGGTGGGGCCGAAACCAACTGCATGCAGCACATTTCGTAACCCTCCCTTTCCCTATCCCCCCCTTTCGTCCGGCCCGAAACTACCGCCACGTTTGCGAACGCCCCGCTGGCAGGGGCTCGGCTTCCGCCCCGACCGCCCGGGGCGCGCCTCGGGTCCGGCCCGGCCTTCGGCGAGGGGGCGCGGCGGCTGTCCGGCGGCTCGCCCTGCGGCCGGGGGCGGCGGCGGCGAGGCGGGCGAGCGGGCGGCGGTGTCCGAGGAGGTGCGGGAGCGAGCGAGCGGGGGGAGCGGCGGCGCCAGGTCGGGGAAGCGAAGCGGAGGGCGAGTGGGGGAGAGGGGGGTGGCTGGGCAAGGAAAGGGAGGGGGGGGGGGGCGGCGGGGCCGAGGTCGCGGGGCGAGTGGGAGGGGGGCGGCGGGGCCCGGAGGGGCGGCGAGGTCGGGTCGAGGGCGCAGGGCGAGTGGGGGGAGCGGCGGGGCAACGGGGGGGGGCGGATCGAGGTCGCAGGGGGAAAGCGGCGAGGCGGGAGGGGGGCGGCGGGCGAGTGGGGCGGGTGGGTGGCGTTGGTGCGGGCGGGCGTTCTACGAATGTGCTCTGTCCTTCGATGTTTTGTCGTTTCCTCCCCCTTTTGTTCCTCTCCCTTCTTCCCCCTCCTCCTCCCCCAGCTTCCCCCTCCTGCCCCCTCCTCCCCCTCCTCCCCCCCCCGCCCTTCCACCTCATCCATCCTCCTCCACCTCCTTCTCCTCCACCTCCCCCTCCTCCTCCGCCTCCCCTGCTGCTGCTGCTGATGATGATGCTCCTGCTCCTGCTCCTGCTCCTCCACCTCCTCCTCCTCTCCTCCCCTCCTCCTCCTCCTCTCCTCCTCCTCCTCCTCCTCTCCTCCTCCTCCTCCTCCTCCTCCCTCCCCCTCCTCGTCCTCCTCATCCTCCTCCTCCTCCCATGCCTCCTCCCCGCCCCCCCCCCTGCTGTTTCTCCTCCCTTCTTTTCCGTTCGCTCCCCACACCTCGTCCCCCCCTTTCTCCCTGCTGTCTCCCCTTCCTCACACCCCCTCCAAACCAAGCTTCTTATTTACCAGAAGCGAGCAATGGGAAACATATGGAGCAATGAAACTTTGGCGACACGTAGGCACATACAATCATACGAGCATCGTGACAAATATCAAGCTATAGAACAATTCGAATCGTGCCGACCGTTCTTGTGACATAGAACATGATAGAGACCATGTGGACACCGCCAACCATGGAACATGTAAGCCGTGTGCACGCGACCAAACACAACGCACACAGAGAATGTACGACCAAATAAAGCTAAAAGCGTATATCCCTTGAACATGCGAAGCACGTATGACAATGTTGCGAAGGCACTGTGCAAGCACAGCTAACAACACTGGCCGTGTGCGAAGCAGCCCGGCATGTGCACACAATTATACATGTACGACGTCATTGAATGCGATAGGCCAGAGGATGGGGGAGCGTGCAGAGATGGAACAAACTATACTCGAGGATCGCGCCTCGTATGGCCGCACAGTCCACATCCGACGATATATACCGATATACACATGCACATGAACAAATGCCGATCGATCTCTGCAAGGGCACCGACAATGGCGTCCACGAGGGAGGACAGATGAGGACGAGGAGGAAGACGAGGAGGAGGATGAGAAGGAGGAGGAGGAGGAGCAGGAGGAGGAGGAAGAGGAGGACGAGGAGGAGGAGGATGAGGAGGAGCAGGAGGAGGAAGAGGAGGAGGAGGATGAGGAGGATGAGGAAGAGGAAAAGGAGGAGGGGGGGGGGGAGGACATCCCTCCCTTGTTCCCCGGTCCCAAACAACGCTGACAAAAAAAAACGCCGCCCCACGCGCGCGGCAGGGGTCGGCTCCTTGGCCCTCGGGCCGTTGCAGGAGGCGGCGCGCCTCTGCGAGCCTCCCCTCGCGGGCAGTTCCCTGCGCGAGACCTCGGCGGGAGCCGTTCTGCACCCCCATTGCCCAACCCCTTCTCTTCCCTTCCTCCCTTTTCTCCTCCTCTTCCCCCTCCACCTCCTTCTCCTCCTCCCCCTCTTCCTCCTCCTCCCCCTCCTCCTCCCCCTCCTCCTCCTCCTCCTCCTCCTCTTCCCTTCTCTTCCTCCTCCTCCTCCTCCTCCTCCTCCTCCTCCTCCTCCTCCTCCTCCTCCTCCCCTCTTCCTGATAAATAGCTTCTCCCTGTCGCACCCCGAGGCCCAGCTTTTAGGGCGGGTCGGGCGCTTCTCCTGTGAGTTCCTCACCACCCATGACCCTGAAGCTTGACATTTGGCAACAGGTTCACAGATGGAGGGCGGGTGGTTTTCAACATGTGGCTCTCGCCTTGGCGCCGCGCACATTCGTTAAACAAACATTGCAAGAGCTTCACAGATTGAAGGCGGGTGGGTTTCAACATGTGGCCCTCGCCTTAGCGCCGCGTACGTTCGTTTTAACAGTTTGCAAGAGTTGTACGGATTGAGGGCGAGTCATTTTCAGAATGTGGCTCTCGCCATAGCGCGGCGCACATTCGTTTTAACATTGGCAAGAGCTTCACGGATTGAGGGCGATTCCTTTCCAACAGGTGGCTGTCGCCTTAGCACCGCGCGCATTCGTTTACAACATTCTCCGGATTTTCACGGATTCCCATCATCAACGTACCAGCACTGGTGATTTGGAAAGGTTCAGGATTATGCGGGCGCAACAGTTACGTTGACTCTCTGTTTGAAGTCCTAGAAATGGCGTTCTGGTGCGATTCAGGATCGTCAAGACGCAACAGTTAGGTTGACCCGTGGCGTTGGAATCCCGAGAACAATGTTTTGGTATGCTTCAAGGTCTTCACACGGGTGTCTTCCACCAAAGCAGTTCCATCAATGGAAATGAACTGTTGTGGTGGCCTATGAAGAGAGAGCTTGGAGGGAGGGTTTACTCCAACATCGTTGATGACTCTTGGGTTTACACTGGTCCTCCTCCTCCTCCTCCCCCTCCTCCTCCTCCTTCTCCTCCTCCTCCTCCTCCTCCTCCTCCTGCACCTCCTCCTCCGCCTCCTCCTCTTCCTCCGCCTCCTCCTCTTCCTCCTCCTCCT